GAAAGGTAGCAAATCTGTAACCAGTAATTACAGGGGTATATCCCTATTAGATAATATTGGTAAAATTTATGCATCAGTTTTGAATTGTAGGTTAAAGGACTGGTCGGAGTGTTTTGATAAGTATGAGGAAGCGCAAGCTGGATACAGACCACATTACTCAACTGTTGATCACATATTTACATTGAATGGCCTAATTGAGAAGTATCTTTCCAAATCCAAGGGCAGATTTTACTGCATGTTCGTGGACTTTTCTAAAGCTTTTGACTGCGTAAATCGGGTCAAATTGATGAATTTACTTCTCAAGAAGGACATTCGAGGTAATATGCATAAAGCGCTATGCAATATGTATAAATCAGCGACCTCATCTGTCAAGTTAGGCAGTGAAACCACACCTTGTTTTGACTGTCATACTGGTGTCAGGCAGGGGTGTGTTTTAAGCCCAATCCTATTCTGCTTCTATATAAATCAGTTATTAGAATTGCTTGAGAAAAGTAATGTACGAGGAATATTCACTGTTAGTGACGTGAATGATATTCTAGCTCTTTTATATGCAGACGACCTCAGTCTTGTGGCTGACACAATTGGTGACCTTCAAAAGAAAATCAATGTCTTAGAAAATTTTTGTGAGTACTCTGAACTGTCTGAAAATATTGATAAAACAAGAATTATTGTTTTCCGAAATGGGGGCATAATAAAGAAAAGTGAAAAGTGGTACTTTAAAGGGACAAAGGTTGATTGTGTCACATATTACAGTTACTTAGGTCTCTTGTTTTCTTCCAGGTTGCACTGGGGTAAATGTCTTCTGAACTTGTCACTTAAAGCCGAAAAAGCTCTTATTCCTATTAAGTCTTTCATTGCAAAAACAGGTCACCCTCATCCGAAGGTATCCTTTAAAATATTTGATGCTATAATCAAGCCGGTTCTATTGTACGGTTCACAGCTTTGGGGATTTCAGTACAGACCTGATATAGAACGTGTTCATACGAACTTTTGTAAGTTTGTGTTAGGTATACATAAATCTTCCACCAGTGCTGGAGCAGTAGGAGAATGTGGACGACATAGCCTTAGTGTTTATTACATACTGTCTTGTATAAAATATTGGTGCACTTTAATCAATATGAATATAGACCGTTATCCAAAACAGGTGTATCTAATGTTTAAAAAATCTAGATTTTAATTTGGGCCGGGAGACATGGGTTACTCATTTGAGAATGATGTTATTCCCACTTGGTTTTAGTTTTATATTCTACTCTGAAAGTATTGGTAATGTAAGAAAATTTATACAATCAGTGAAATTAAGGCTTAAGGATATTGATATTCAAGATTGGTCAGCTAAGTTAATATCACATGATAGTCTTACTTAATACAGTAATTTTAAACTTGAGCTTAGACAAGAGCACTATTTATCTTGTAATGTGGGAATAAAGCTGAGGCGTAATATCACACGATTACGCTTAAACCTGTTACCACTCTCAGCAAATTTATTTAAAAGAGGTGTTCTTAAGAACCAAATATGTCCTTTATGTAATGAAGGGAATGAAAATTTATACCATTTTATGTTTACTTGTAACAATCTGACCGATTTAAGAGTTAAATACCTTCCACCAGACTACATTAGAGACTATTATGATGTAAATCTTCTATATAAGTTATGCACTGTTAGAGATAGATCATTATTGATATCTATAGCACTGTATATAGAGGAGGCGTTGTGTTCTAGACAGGTATAGTTGTTATTCGTTATTAACTCCAATGGCACCCCATCTTGTTATTACCTATTGATATATACATGTATATACTCAATAACAGAATAATAATATTTATTATAGACATATATGTATATGTATGTTATATTCTATGTACTATGGGTCTATGACCTTGTATCACTTAATAAAGTATTATTATTATTCTCGTTGTCACTTGTACCAACTAACGACTTATTTACATTAACCAGGGCATCATTTAGAGAACCCAAATAACCTATACAGTATATAGGCCGTATAGTATTATAATGATAGTATTATAATGATAGTATTATAATGATACATTATTACAATTATCATGGTGTAAGACAGAAATATCGCATATATATTCTGTTTACAAATGATATACGTTATTGTGTCTTATCATGTTTGTTTATTCACAATATCTATGACATAATACGTGTATAATTGACATGTTATAAAACCTGAGAAGAATTTTATAACTTTATTAGAAAAAAAGGGCGGGATCTTGATCATTTTCAGATTTGTTACTACATTTCATCCATATATTTTTCTACATTTGATTTGTAGTAGCCATATTTGTACAGGGCAAGTAGCCTACGAGGAGAGATACACTATAAAATGTATCATTTTAAATGGGGTTGGAGTCGATGCACAAGACATAGGTAAGCTACTGAGATGGTGATTGTATTTTAGCTTAACAAATTGTTCTAGAAATAGTAATCCTTCAAGACCCAGAACTAGTTCTGCCAGTGGAAATGATACGAGGGACTTCATATATGCGTGTTATCAAAATCATAATAGCTAATAGTAAAGCAGTATCAGATTCCCATGATTATGTAACCATAGCCAGATGTACGCGTCACCTAAATTAAATCATAACCTACACTTTGAAATAAGAAACAGATTTAGGATTGTATACGGCAATACTTTATCCGAAGTTTGACTGAAGTCTGACTTGGTGTATGCACCGCTCTAACTTTAATTCATTGTATGTATGTAATTCAATCATTGTCAAACATTAAAGTTGGTACGGTAATGTCTGTTCCGGGAGTTCCACCTATAAAGTTTAAACTCCTGGAATAAAAACACCGTGCCAACTTACTTGTTTGACAAAGATAGAAATACATACATACAATGAAATATGTATTTTTTAGAACACTATATAGGACTAGAAGTTTTTGCTGCACTGGTTGGAGATCTGTTGGTTCTGATCTGGCGTGTGATCATGGTAAATATATTTTATATCTGTATTATCTGTCAGTAGTAAACTTGTGCTTTATCGCACAAAGAATAGAGTTAAGCACCCTTAGTAAAGATGAACGTAGTTGTTTACAATTGGGGGCATTGCCATTCTTGTCTATGGTTCGCCGCATGGGCTAGATCTATTTATTAAGGACAACTCAATTTTCGTTAGGGTTAGTGGAAGCGTTAAGGCTAGAAAGGTTAGGGTTGGGATTAGCGCTAGCCCTGTTTACATCTCGTGACCATTGACCAAACTTGAAGTTGGCCTTATCAAATAGATCTAACCGTTCGCATGGGAGGGAGGGGGCATTTAACTTCGCGATCACATGAACTCGTGCCGTGTCAGCCGCTTTACATTTGGTACAAGGGTGTTGTTGATTACAGGATTACTGCAACCTTGCTGTACATGGATCCAAAAACGCGCCAACACCCGTCCATTCTGATTTTTCGTTTCTAATTTGAAGAAACTATTTGTTGACATATGTTGGAATAATTAATAATGCGTTTGATTTGTTTCATTGGTGGTTTTTTTTTTTTTTTTAATTACTGAATTTTGGAAAATTTATGTTTTAATTCGCAGATATTATTTTTCAATTTTAATTTTTTTAAGCTACTTAATTTCTAGTAATTATGTATAATTTGATTTGAAGAATAGTTTTAGTTTTAATTCGATGGTTTTGCTCTTTAGATTGTTAAAATTACGGGTTTTGGAAACAGTTTATGTATTAATTGGCAGATTTTTTTTTAATTCGTTATTTTTTTTTTAACAAGAAATTAATTGAAATCCGATATGTTTTATTTTTTAATTTCTTTTGATGTGGAGAAATTATTGAAATTTAGTAGGTTTTTTTTTAATTTCATGAACTATTTACAAATAATATGCAATTGGTAGCCGGGGATTGATGCCGGAGGTGTGTGTGCGTGGGGGGAAGGGGGCATTACCTTTGACACGAAGACGAAGGACATGGTTACAGTGGGGTGGGTGTATTGGCTAATCACGTAATTGACAGGTCGGGATTAATGCGGAATGTTACGTAGCGACAGATGTTATAGATGCTTCGTGGTCCTGATGACATTCATTAGTCATTATGTAACATCAACTTGTGGCTGGCTTGTTTTATTTAACTTCCTTTGTCTTATAAGCAAACTGTACTGAATGTTAAATCTGATATGATGCAGTAGCCAGATATGTAATGAGATCCTTTGTCTGGAAGGGTTTATAAACCCAGAATACAAACGAATCAGCAGAGGAGGCTAGGCCGGGACGTCTAGAAGTTAACTTTGGACCAGGCAGGTCTCGAGTTAAGACCGGACAGTGGCCATGTAAGTAAGTGGGGGTTGGCACGCTGTGCCAAGCCAAGCTAGGACCATGGCTCCCTCAACACAAGCTAATTACGGAGTTCTAAGTTTTGCACATGATAAGCTGAAAGAAGAATAAAAGTATTTTTGAAGTTAAACCAGTGTTGTCGTCAAGAACCTGATATAAAGACCCATTACTGTAACAGAAAAGGTGTTGGTGGGGGGGGGGTAAATTTTACACGAAGGACATGGTTACAGAGGGGGTGGGTGTATTGGCTTATCACGTAATTGGTAGGTGGGGATTAATGGGGAAGGGGAAGGTGGGGGTATGAACGAACACTTGTGTCCAATTAATTTGACGACCTCCAATTTATTGCGCGTGATAGGCATGTATTCCGTTTATACTCCAAACATATTTTTTTCTGTTTGATAATCTGCCAATATCTTGTACACTACCCATAAACCCTAGTCTAGACACGTTAAAAATATCAAAATGTGGTCGAAATGTCACAGACGAAGAAATGAGATGTATAGGGATTAAGAGTACAACATTATCTGGAATTTCCATTGGTATTACATTATGGTCTTTCAGACATTAAACTATAATATATCACCCCGATTAGTATTACAATATGGTTATTACACTTTGAACTGTGCGTACGTTATATTCTAGCTGTATGTGATAACAAGATTGGTCCATCAGCTTGTAATAACTATTTCCCCAGCTCCCATATAAAATATAGTGATGGTAGTATTCAAAAATATATATATGGTACATGTCCAAATCCTGAACAATGTCGCTGTCCAAAAGATGGTTTTTATTCAGCTGGCCAGACGTGTGAGAGTATGTATTCATAATTTTCCGTTTTCTTAATTGTCATTTATTGTTAATTTTTTGAGTTTTTTTTTTAATGCTTTAATATTCAATAATCACGTTGATATAAACGAGCGAGGAAAGCTTAGACATCTCCTTCAATAAGCGTAATGGATTTCAACAGTGTTTGTTCTGATCAACGAACAAAAGGCAATATATAATTAAATGGTCAAAATGTTGTTAATTAACTTTCAGATATTAATTTACATATCTATAGTCTTCTCATATACGAATCCCAACAGTTACAACAGATTGCATGAAAAGTAAAATGTGAGATAAACTAACAGATACTGTAAAATTTTGTCATTGGTCCTGTAGTATGATTTAGTATCTTCCTTCTATTTTTAAAGTTTGTTATTGATGGTATAGTATGATTCGGTAACTTATTTTCATTAAATTTTATAGTGTGCTCAGCTATTACAAACTGTAATCTGGAAACATGTACATCATCATCAAACCAGAGGTGTTCTAGATGTGAAGGAGTACGAGATGAAAAACCTGGCTACAGAGCCTATCTTATTTCCAGTGATAAAAAACGTTGTACAAGTTAGTATTTAATGTACAGGTATCAATATTCTATAATATATGACAAACAATATGTAGTGACGGGTTACGTGCTTGATAAGAGCATTCTTACCAGTTCCAGAACATAATGGAATCATTTCTTCTTAATTGAGAATTTCACGTAGTTGAATAACTCTTCTTTGACGTTTGTATGTGTCGTTATATTTAGCAGAGAGCAGTGGCCTAGTAATTGAATAAATATAATTCTATTCCTATTATTTCAGAGGCGTGTTCTTGGCGATCTGATAGTACCCCATGTTATCCCGGAAGCTGTGCTGATGAACTTGTATCAAATTGTATATGTACGTCAGGATTTACAGGATCAAAATGCGATAAAAGTAAGTGTCGCCGCCATTTAAAATCAACAGAAAAAATAATGGCATAATCACACAAACCGGTAGTTGATATTTGTCGACATCGATTTAAGAAAACAAAATATCATAGTATATTCCACTAAGGTCAAGCTTGCTCCACAATTCTGTGTCCAATTTCTTGAATAAAAAGACTATTCTGCTGAGTCAGATAATGGTCCCAATAACGAATTATTCATTAGTAAATAATTCAGATGTCGTGTTGCTAAGCAGTAAAATTGGTCTCTTCTCTTCACCACTGATTGGGTTTGTTTATTCTGCAGCATTGCATATTGCGATTATACAGCATTGATATTTACACTAGCAGCCACCAGCAGTTACTAAGTTACTTATAAATAAGACTAGTCACAAATTCCTATTGTATAGTATTATTGAGGGTCGTAAACGTAAATCAGTTACTAGACAATTTATCTTTTTAGTAACCAAAAAGCCGTCAATTAAAGAGAATATACTAAGTCTGACAGCAGCTAATACTGGCGGTACAACTCATGCACCAGGAAATACAAATGCCGGACCAGTTCAAGATACTGTATGGACTAATATGGTTAATCCTGTTAATATTCACTTCAGATTTACGGCGGATTACCAACCAGTTGTGCCTTCTCGACAGGCGTATGTCAAGGATTTTAAAGTTGGCATTATAAGTGCGAGTTTACGTCTGGAAAGGGGTAAAGGTCGTTGTAATATTAACTCATAAATACATCTCTCGCCTCTGTTTTAATCCAACACAAAACTGTAATTTCTTATTGGTTTTGTTTCCATTAGCATTAATATTCTTATTCCTATGACTCAATGTCCTATGGACCATAATTTAGTAATGCATTTGTTAACAGCACACCTTTCGATTGAAACCAACTTTTATTTATTTAATGCCAGTCATTTGTTCTTGGAATAATTGTTCTATTTCAGATGTCAATAATATTATTTCTCATCGTTGTGGTGGAACACAGAGTCGAAGTAATCCTAACCGGGGTGTGTTTACCTGTGAACAGACATTAACAGATTTATCTCAGTTATCTCTACCATTTAATCACAAGGATGTGTAAGTTTTCGTAAATAACTAGCATGATATAACACAACACAGGAACGAACGAATTAAAATGTTTTTCGGTCTTTTTGACATAACAAGAACATAACAATGTGTATGCGCTTTACTTCCCGTGTAACTAATTATTATGCTCAAAGGGGTAGAATACAGTAAAAGTCTTAAGCGCTTGAAGTCGTGGGTAAAGTACCTACCTATATGCAGTTCTATGTAACTGCATATAGCAGGGTAGATTGGAAATAATTCTGATAATAACTGCCAGACATATTTAAATGTGTTGAATCTTGTGAAGGCAATACAGGATAAACAGGGGTGGATCCAGGAATTTTGAAAGGGGGGGGGGGGCGCCGCAAAATGAGGGCACTGACCGCGGAGACGGGGCACGCCGCTGAGAGGGCTTTTCTTTTTTTTGGGGGGGGGGGGGCAAGAAAATTATCCGTCATTTCCTTGCATCTGTAGCCATTCCAAGAGCTATTTGGCTGATATTTTCGTCTAAGTAAACGTTCGGAAATCGTTGAAAAAGAGCCTTAAAATCGAGCAGAAAAGCCAGTTGAACATGCGACTCGAAAATTGTCAAGGCGAGCGAGGCATTATGATGGGAAAAAAGACGAATCTATTCCCTAGCCACTTCACTATTTAAGCCTTGTAACTTGTACTTTGTACTGTCCACACATGAAACAATGCTACATCAAGTTGCACTCATGCGTCAGCTAAACAACAAGAATTCGTTTGAAAGTGGAAGCATTAATTAGACCAGACTGGTGTGTTTGAATCGATGGTTTGAGTCATTTGGGATCCCTGAAACGGGTTGGGAATGGACATATTTGGGTCTGAGAAAAGGCACTTTCAGGAGTAAAAAAGGGCACTGATGAAAATTAGGGCCCCCCCCCCCCCTTGAATCCGCCTCTGATAAAGTTATTGTCTTCTCTATTTAAGATTACATGTATTTCCTTTTTAAAAATTCAAGGAAGGTTGGTGAATTTACACTGTTGACAGATGTTTTTATGCAGATATTAAACCCAGTACGTGATATTCTGCAGTTAAAATAAATGTTGTACATTTTAGACTCTCGTTTTCGATGTCAGTTGCCAATGGTGGATTTGTTAAGATCGAAAATAAAGAAACAAACTTGGTGGAAACTGCATACCTACAAGGATTGACTCAAACCAATACATTTTCTATAACATTTGACAGTGTAGATCCATATCATTGTAAACCCCAGTCAGGATGTTCTCTAGATATGCTCTCTGATGTAGACTTATCTAAACAGGTACATATATACTCTAGACCAATATTATTGTAGACCTTGAATAGAATATTGTCCAGCTAAGACACATATTATTGTATATCACAATCCATTCCGTGTGAATCCATTTCATTGTAACCCCATGAAGATGTCCTTTAGACGTGCTTTGTGATGTTGGGATCTCAAAGAACAATTTAAGAGAATTTGCAGCATTTGGGCATATGGCTGGGATGAGGATGGTCGGGGTGGCGGAGGCATAGAATGGATTTAGTGTATACCAGAGTCTCAATCAGGGAGTAGCGCGTGGAGAGTACTCAGAGTAGATGTTCAGTTGCCTCACTACTTACTATGTTAAGAAATACTTTCCGTTCAGGTCCATATCATTGCAAATTCCCAACGATGCATTATTTATTTCATCCACATATTATCTTACCTTATACAGCTTCAAATGCATCCTTTAGAGTAAGTGCGGAATAACCCGATTATGAGCAATTTAGTGGAACATTTGCCACTTTATAATTTTTACTCCCAGGCTAATGCTTCATAAGTACTTCTCCGTCGATGACGTTGTTACTTCTGAAATCAATTTAGACTGTTGGGAGAAGACCATTTCTTTTATTTAAATACCATTCACGGCGATATAATATCAACTAGGATGGCATGAGAATAAAGTATTCTAATCATCTAATCATAAATCATTTATTGTCTAGCGTACTAAACGTTTTTCATGGGACGGCTGGGTGGATGCAGATGCTGGGATTAAAGAATACGAGTATGAACTTTTTGAACTTCATCGTGTTGGTAATGAACTTGGTGTCAAGGCGAGGAAGTCGGACTCGAGAACTACCTCAGTGAGTATCATTATTATACAATGTTTACAATGACAAATAATGCTTCCGGCATCAAAGTTTCAATAAAGTAGTCTTGTGACACTATCCTGGTCCCATATCCCTAGAAAACGGCCAGTAACACAATCCTTCTTCAAGACATCGAAAAGTGAACTGTGCGACTAACCTAGCAGCGGTCTCCAAAAACCCCAGTATGTGTCACTATGGTGACACTTCTCTAATTAGGACTTTCACGTTTTGTATAAAACTTCAATGGTCAATTAACTCTGGAACACTGTGTGGTTAAAACTATGTTTATATATAAACTACAGGAAACTACAACATCTATGATAATACATTATGAGTTATTATAATATCTACAGTCCGAGTTTAACAACCGTAGGAATCGGATCCATAGGGTGAAACCCTACATATTGCCTCTATCCCGGCCTCGACCCAGAGGCAGAGAATATGTTATTCTAAAAACTCTGCATGATGTCTGTATCCCGGCCTCCAAGCCGGGGAGGTTAAACGCCCCTCCAGGAACGTCGTATGTTCTCCCGAGGAACATGGAACGGTGTCTGAACCCTGGCCTCTAAACCGAGGAGGCTGTGAGTATGCCTTCTAAGAAGCCCCGATGATGTCTGAAGTACAGTTAACCGCGCTCTTTAATATATAGAAAACGTACAGATACGTTAGCTATTAGGGCCCGGCAAATACCATATTTAAGTAAGTGTTTCATTTGAGCAGCCCTTTTCATGAACATTGTTCATCTAATTGGACTAATCTGTGCACGAGATGACTGGACACCAGTAACTTACGTCGGGGTATAAACTGTCAGTCTAAGAAAGTTGGAGAATAATGCAAAGTAGTTCTCGTTGTCACTTGTAGCTAGCGACTCCAATACATTAAACAGAGCATCATTTAGAGAACATTTTTCTTTTTTACCAACAGTGTGTATAAAAAGTAGTTGAAAGCCAGTTTGTGGGAGATAAGGAATAAAAGATGCAATAAAAGCAAAAAATGAAATTGTTGACAAAGTTAGATAAAACCTAATAACGACAACAACATAAAACCGAAACAATTAAAATGATAGTAAATAGGACTACAAAATGAAGTGCAAATATGCAGTTCTGGAAGATAAAGATAAAGGTGTATTTTTAGATTAATATGCTTGTCATCGCGAAATTTAACATTTTATTCTTTCAGAAAAGGGTTGTTGTTACATTCCCCGATCCCGCCGTATATTCCATAATTTTATCAGCCTATGATAAAGCTGGAAATTATAAGAAGGCCAGACGATTGGTAATATTTGATGACACGTCTGCTGTAACAACGACGTCTGGGAGTGTGCTTAGAGTGACAACTGCTCTTTCCACTACCAATTACAAATGGCAGACTAATTTAAATTCTGTTACAATCAGTTGGACTAATAGATATATCAACACAGTACATCATAATGGTCGTTTTCTAGCAGCTGTTAAATCAGAACCTGGTGTAGAGTCTCAATATGATGATAATTATGGGTCTAGAACAACGCAGCCAATCAGCAATGTACAAGGTAACAGGTTTAATTATGGCTTGAAGGTATGACTGTAGGCAGTCAAACATTTTTACCAGATATGATATTGATAAATCAGTCCCTCCCTTAAATGGCGAAATAAGATGCAATCAGTTCAGTCCGAACAGTTTGGACCTTGATAACTACGTCCTATTATTATATCAAATGCATTTAAAAATTATGAAAATGTTCAATTTTTATTGCCTATTATGTGATCTTATCCTTGACATTTGAATATTATATTAGATAATTTTGATTTAATATTTTAGAAATTGTTAGTATAAAAACCATATATAAAGTGGACCACACTGGAGGAAGTTCGATTAACCAACCTTCTCTGAATGAATTCGTAGATCTACGACTTGATCAACAAGTGACAATAACACCGGATCTGAAAGATGGCGATACTTTACGATATTTTATCAGAGCTTATGATATTTTATCTCAATACAAGGAAGAATCGTTGACTGTCCATTTTGATAATTCTCCACCTGTTATTGAAAATCTATGGTTAACAAAAGGTGATGAGGTTAATCTAGCAGTTCATGGTTTTGAGGAACTTGATAAAATGGTGTAAGTAACAGACTAAGTACTTAAGACATATTTAACGTATGAGTCATATTGCCTTGGAATAAAAACTCGTGATTTGAAATTAGGTATCACCTGGAATAGGCAGAATAGTTCCCTTACATGTAGAATACCTCCATTACATTTTGTATTTTGTCATTCAGTTTATCCTGGGTCCTGTTTCTCGAAATCTTAACTAAAGATAAAATCCAATTTTAAGTAGATACTTCAATTTTGATTGGCTAAGCGCTAAAATCAACCTAATATTATCCAATCAAATTACTCAAATGTGGATTTTATCTTAGTTAAAATTTCGTGAAACAGGCCCCTGTTTCTTTTTTGAAGTTGTCGGCATACCTGTATTGATATTATATAATGCAGAACATTGTTACCTTATAGGATAGGTAATAGTGATAGTATAATGTCATATAATTTACAGCATAGAATGGATAGCCTATGATGATCATAGTGGAATAGAAACGGTATAATGGAAGATATTGGATCATTTAACTGAAGTAGAACATGGATCTCATCGTATTCCACCGCAAGGCGAAACAACGGTAAGTATGCGATACTGAAGGAAAGGTTTTATATACCAATGGGGAAACTGCGTGAATATCTTCTCGCGAACTGCTTATTAAATTCTTTACTGTACATAAAAGATTAAACAATATTTTGTACTTCAAATTATTAGTTAAAAAGAGGGGAGGGGGCAGCAATCCCACAGTGCAACAGGGGAGACAACTCCTTATGCACCAGTCCTCCGTGACTACTATTAATAACTTTGTATTGATTTTATCTTTCAGAACATTAGAGAATGCCAAAGTAAATATTCTAATAATGCCAGAGGAGCCAATTGTTATTGCATTCCTACTAGCACATGTTATCATCGCCATTTTCAAATAAAACCACCTACTACTGCTACACCAGGAGAAGGCATCTTAAACAATAAAAATACTGGTACGCATGATGATGATTATCGTATCGTGGTTACTGTGATGAACCAAGCTAAATTAAAAACAACTCTAACTAAACAGGCATGTATTAGATTTTTTTAATTGCGTGATAATTAAATGAAGCTTTGACTACCAAATATACACTACAACAGTGGTTCTCAACCTTTATTTGCCAACGGCACACCTTGGAACATATGAAAAAATAGCGGCACACGGTCACACCTGGCTAAATATATATGAAAAATATTTGAATTTTGCAAAATAAAAACATGACAAGTCATAGACGGCATACAACCGTCATGGACACATAGAGTGACTCAAATTAAATAAAGAAAAACGCAGCTATGAAGTTACCAGTAGAACACCAGTGAATACTCAATTAGGATCACGTGGTTTTTAGTGTACCGTTCAAAATTTCGCGGCACACTGGTTGAGAATCACTGCACTACAATGTTTCACACTCTACATTCTTCCTTGCTCCATGCAAGATTTGTTTGTATTTATTATGATTACGCGATAATTAAACAGTGTAACATTGTTATGAATATATAATGACAACAAATTTATCTTATTAGGGTGACTGCCTTTTCATATGTAGAATAATTTAATTTGCCAAGGCTTGCTGTCGTGTTGGCTTTATCAAACTAAAATTTACTTTAGAAAATATATACAGCTGCATCTGGTAAATACACCAATTATTAATTGTGTCTTTTCATTATAGTTTCGTTTAACTTCAGATTACAGTTGATACTAGTTCACCGCACCAAGGGATGGTGCATGACGGTAAATATGATACACCGGAAATAGATGTTCAGTCAGATTTAGAACTATTTGCACATTGGGGAGGTTTCTTTGATAGAGAGAGTGGAGTGAAATTTTATCTGTATGGTTTTTCTACGTCTTGTTTGGGTGCCAATAAATTTCAACTGAATCTTGCAAATAGACAGGTAATCTACGCAAATGAAATGAAACAATAAATTTCAACTGAATCTTGCAAATAGTCGGGTAATCTAGGATAATGAAATGAAACAAATACAATGAATCGTTATTAAAGTCAATGTATTTGTCTTTGGTAAGATTTATCCTTTAATGGTAGAACCGACCCGGACATTTATAAGGGCTCATCTCATACTATTATACTTTTAGGATATTCAACAGACTACATCTACGCATGCTTCTTGGACAGCACCGTCTGATGGTAAATATTACATCACCGTGGTAGCATATAACGGAGCTTTAGAAGTATCTCTACCAGTTTGTTCTGATGGAGTGGTTGTAGATAGAACAATTGGTATGTATGATAAAACACCGAATCCAAAATTCCATAACAAAATATTCAATAGTCATTTCTCTAGACGATTATAAAACATGTGTATTCCCTTTAAACGGTTTAAAACAAAGGCGTCTCAATGGCGCGTCATTACTTTATTTGACCAGGAATTGTTGTTCGTGTTGTTCGTCGCAATTACGAAATGGTGCCATGCTTAGTTCCTAATCCATATACCTATCGTACTTGGTTGTACCTTATATTCGTCCACAGTCGTCTGGTCGTTTGCATTGTATTGGGTCGCAATTGCCTTATTATTAGTTGCTTTGTTTTATTCTAGGCAGGCCGGTTATTGATCCAAACAAAGATACCAAAACCAGCATATCTGTATCACGTGGAGAAACAGGTGTACTGTCAATCCATGTTTTAGCTTATCCACTACCTGAATTTACCTGGTATTATCAACTACAGGATGGCAGTGAAAGACCGATTATAGATGTTAGATGTAACCAAACAGATGATGGGCTATCATCAACATTAACTATACAAAATGTTACAGTTGATGATGGTAGAAAATATATAGTTTATGTTAATAATAGTCTTGGTACAATTTCTATTGTATTTAACATGGCTGTATTATTGTCTAGCGATGATGATGTACATGGTAGTAATAATACCCTGCTTGGTATCGGTATAGGTGTTGGTCTGGGTATCATCCTATTCATTTTGTTGGGGATCATCTTTATGAGAACTGGGAGGAGAATCTGCTTTCAAAAAAAAACAGGTAACAGTTATATTGAGTTAATAAATCGCATTAGACATAGAATCGTGATTCTCATTCAAGACGGGAAGTTCATCGCTATATTAAAGAATATAATATTCTTACTGGTTGAGTTAAAATTTCCAAATCAATAAACGGTGCATTATACATAAAAACTGGATTTCAATGTTAGTTATTTGCAGTAATTCGTGGTGAGCTAAACTAAACCACAAGAAGTAGTAGTATATGTTTTTTAATGATTTCAGGAAATGATCAGACAGTATTTGATGATGCTAGAAATCAACAAACAAAGTCAGATAACATCTCCTTATCTGAAATCCCACCTATATATGAAATAGTTGATACTGATGCTGTAAATACAAGAGACCCAACTGATCCCGATCATATTATCTCGGAGACAACGCCTTCGCCATATGAAGTACTGGATATACAAGCTACTAACTTACAACATAACATTTACCAAGAGCTCAATGCGCCACCAGAATCAACATATGAAGGGCTGGATAAACAAACTACAGATCAACAATCAAACATTTATGAACAGCTGGACCTCTACGAAAATGTAACAGGGACCAAAATGAAGGGTAAAGATAACGCAAAATAAGAAATATGGGGAATAGTTAACTGTGCCATCTTATAATTATTTTTATGGGCTGCTGTTAAGGAAAACGTTGTTAGAATATGGACGTGCCAATAGGGATCTTTCGCATCGGTACGAAAACGTACACGAACACATTTTCATTCAAGTTTTCGTATCCTCTAACACGCGGTTTCGCAATCCGAGTCCAATATATCAACAATATACACAAGGCCTCGAAAAATTATGGAAAATTCAATATATGAGACAAGAAACATTTTCATTTAGATACCTACGTAAATCTAGCTCTACACGAGTAACGGTCTTCAATGGCCCAACACTCATATGCTCACAAGTACACACGAATCGAGGACGTTTTCGTTTTCGTATTTGATTTCGTATCGATGCGAAAGGCCCCTAATGACACGCGCATGACGAAACCCAGTACCTGCATTTAAGGGATATTGTCAGGTTTTTACTGTTGTAGTTAACGATTGCGTGTTTGTATTAAAAAATTTAAAAAAAACAGTCAACGTTTGAATTATCAATATATCATTAATTTGTAAGTGTTCAGAAAGTGTTAACATTTAGATTAGATTAATGTGATTCCTGTCCGTAATTTTGAACAATTTACTGGTAACAAATAAATACATAGAAATTTTTTTAACTTGGATTTCTTTGCTTTGGATCATATATTTTGAGAAGATTGCTTAAAGTTCCAATTTCATATTTTCTAAGAAAGTCAAAACATAATTATATCTATGTCTTTTGCTCAATAGGTTGTCAACTAAATATTATACGATCATAGGTTATCTTTCTCACACTTACAAATCTTCACACCGGAAATAATAACACAAATACCTAACAATTACCTCTCTTGTTTTCCTATTCCCCACCATGGAATAGCTATCCTAAAACGTTTGAATTTGAAGTTGAAAATGATATTTTTTTCAATTTCTCAACCGGCAATAGTGAATTATAGGATTAATAGGATTATTCTTTAACAACGTAGGACTGTTTATATATACCATCTATTTTAGGGCTTTATTTTAATACATTTTAAAAATATAACTTAAAAATATGAAATTGTAACTTTAAGTGAAACGGAGTACTATAGGTCCTTTTTTATATGAATTATCAAGCGCCTTTGGTATAATGTGTATGTTTAAGGACCATCGTTATTTCCACACGATATCAACACTACTAATTAATTACAAGAGTTCACACTGTCACAGTTTGTCAACTGAGATGTAACAATTGAATTAAATCCAGCCGATATATCTTTGCTCAAATTGACATGCTGTCATGGGCTCAATTTTCCTTTTGGAACATTCCGAATTGATGGAATTGCATTAAAGTAACATGGAATTAAGTCCTGTCACAGTACTTTCCTAAAACAGATTTAGTACGAGTAGAATCGAATTAGTATCAGTTCTTTCCGAAAACAGATTTCTCTTCAATAATTCTCGTGTAAGAGGGCTGGACGCCTTTCAATGAATTTAGAGAAGTCAGTTCGAGAATCCCTGCAAATCATTTTGCCATTTATACTTTTGGATCTTAGTCTATATTTAATTTACATGGTATTTCGGATTCAGTAAATGGCGTGCCAAGTGCACCTGGGTAAAAAAAAATTCTAAGAAATTTACAAAATCCACCAGATCGAATACAGGACATACTATTTACTGACTTTATTGGGGGTCAAGGGAGGTAACTTTTCGTTTGACAAATTATAGAGCCTTGTGGTGCATGTGATGAAGCCCAACTTGCCCAAGATAGATTAAGAAATGAAATGGAGTTTCTGCTTCTATACTGGGCTAATGAAGACGGCCTTCCGCCATACATTTATATCGAATTCCAACTGCCAGGGGATCTTTAACGTCCACGCCAATGTATACACGGGACCTCGGTTTTCGTACCATCCGAACGACTTATGATTAAGAATTATAATTAACAGGGTGAACATACCACAGATAAGTCCATTAAAGTGTGGTACCAGATGTTCCAGAAAGGGTTAGCTTAAGTAACCAGGGTTTATGCTATGGGGAAAATTTTGTCACGACAGCAGCGCTTCCGCTTACTCTCCTTTGAATCATAACTGCCAATGGGTGGTTCTTTTACATGCACATGTATACACAGGGTCGCGGTTTTTTGTCCGATTCCAATAGACGCTGTCCATAGGCCAAAATTTCCGTATGCCCGTCTTCTTTAGAAATGGAATGAATGGAGTTTAACGTCCCACTGTTCTGTTCAGACTTGGCTATGGAAAGCAGACCAGAACCCAATGCAACCAATGCATTCCAAATGTAAATGTGTATTCTTGGTGCTACTTCATTACCATCACAATGGTGCTCAAGATGAAATAATCAACTTGAGAGAATACAGACGATGACTTCGATTCACTTCGGTACAAACTTTTCGAGAAAAGGTTACCAAGCCTACCACGAGGCAAACAGCTCGCCTCCAACGTCTGCCGCTGTTCGGTATCATAGCTTGCGGGTATTCTTTCAGGTTCAGGAATGGACATCGAAGGCTAAGAAATGCTGTAGAAAAAACATCCAGGGTACTTTAATAACCCTGAAAGCAGCCAGCAGCACCTGCAGAGCCCTTATATAGACTGTAATACTGGGTGAGGTACAGATCGGTGCACTTGTAAAAAAACAGCATCGAATTCACTGCACATAATGTGCAGACTGCAAGGGACATAGCTGTAGCAACTCCTCGAAGCTAGTATTAGACAACTCTGATTAATTTTTGTTAACTTGTTTGTTTCCATCAGTGCTATGTGACCCCACCCCCTCCCTGTGACAACAGTGCTGTGATACTAATGCAATTAGTAAATGTTCGTAGTGAGGTACGGATGCTTTTATTACATTCGTTGAACATGGTAAAATCGGTGTGGGAACTTGATTTTTCCAGGTTATTGCAAATGTTTTTTGAGCTTGGACTAAAAGTGTTTTTTTTTAGTAATAGCTGGGGCGTCTAGTTTGCATTAATTCTATATTATGCAATATAACTGCACTGTTCTCCTAGTGCCCCCTTACCCTGATATTATGGTTGTAGTTCCAGATGTAGGAGGGAAAATAAGTTTTGCACCGATGGCGGCTGTTAATTTGCCTATTGTGAATTATGTGATGAAGTCATGATTATATTCTAAATGTGTTTATTTGCTTCCATGGCCACGAGGAAATGCGTTTATACACAATTTTCATCAAACATGAATAATTTTTTAATCATGAAATATGCTAATTATTACATACTACACAATTTGACATCTTTTCACCCAAACGATTTTAGATCATTTTTTGGCTGTTGTTTAGGGGACTATACTGAAATGCATCTCAGTGAAATTAATTCTGTTGCAATTTGTTTTGGGTCTAACCCCAGATTGACAGGACTAATAATCACTGAGCCACCATGTGATACACAAAGCTATTGACATCAGATTGGGTTAAAACTGGATATCATGCCTGTTTCAATCATCTGATAAATTAATAGAAAGGGCAAGCATAGGCGTACGAGCCAGGGGGGCAGGGGGGGGGGCAGCCGCCCCCCTAACTTTCGGTCAAGCTGACTTTTCGGGCAGACGGGTAAAGCTATCTTAATTAGGCTATAATAGACCACTTTGTTCAAGGACTGAAATAGCAGGAAAACGTGTTTGCAGCCGTCAAATATTCCAAAATTTTCTTGGGGGGGGGGGGGGGGGTCCGTGCAAGGTAAGCTCTGCTTCTTCACCTCTCGAGGAAGACCGACGCCGCTGTCTGTAAACCCGAAATGTTTTCGGGCATTTCGGGTTCTGCCCCCCTAACTGTCATCGAGCCCGTACGCCTATGAAGGCAAGTAAAACTTGTTTCCACCCACATCCAGGTGCACCAGACGTCAAATCGCTTGTAGTTAGTCAGTGAATAAACACGGCCTACATTCGGTTATTAATTTGACAGGCAGGCGTATATGCAAGCAAACAGAAATTATACAAGTACGCTATGAAAAGACATTTAACTAAAGTTTATTATTAAGCTTGCACGTGTTCAGTGTACCCTGTGAACGTTCATTCGGTACAAACATGAAATCTATATTATAAATTTATTTACCATAATCGTTTAATGACTTATGTTTCTGCACTGACCAGGCAGACGAAGACCGCCATATTCTGACTAGATCTACTTCTTAAGGCCACCTACAGATTTCGTCAAGGTAACTGAGATGTAAATAAGGTTAGAGCACGTGATTGTTGACGAGATTGTGGGTTAGGGTTTGCCTTGGGTAAAGGTTAGGGCTAGGTCCAGGGCTATACTCATGTGTGTTTTTTTACAGAATATCTTGACGTTCGAGCTATACGTGAACGATGATCTGCTTTGTTGTACCTTTAAAACCTTTCTTTAAAGTGCATCCAAGGTCACTGCGTACTTATATTATTCTAGGTTACGAGTGTCAAGTCAACCATGAACATGTTTAGATTGAACAATATTTTAACAAGTAAATGTGCTGAGTAACTGTGAACGCTTAACCGATATTTTGGAAGGTCAATGTGCTCACTGAATAACTGTGAATATGATCAATGGAAATCGTGTCGTGTTGCCGTTCACATGTGATTAACATAAAGACTGTAATGAACATAAGTGGTCTGACTCGGAGAATTATTATAGCAACAGAACAAGTATGGGCTGCTAAAACCGCCATAAGTATTTTAGCAGGAAAAGGACATAACATCTCGCAGATTCTTTACCTAAGCCATTTTGATACTAATCATTGTTGTTATAGTTTAATATCTATGTACATCGACATTGTTGCAGAATGATGGGCCTGGCTGGTACAAATGTCTAGTCCTTCGTGCGGAACGAAAAACCGAGACCCTATGTACACGTTGGTGTGAACGTAAACGTACCTTTGACATATGGAATTCGATGAAGTGTATGCAGAAACGCAATTGTCTGGGGAAAATGTCCCACACAGCGCACTGAATGACACATTTGGGTTTCATTACCCCGGTCGGTGCAGAAAAGTAAGACGTCCAATCCCTTCCTTCTGTAAGTGTACAATGGCGAAATCTGAACATTTTACCTGGGGACCAGCGTTTCCACCTGGAACTTAATTCCAGATGTTAAGGATAATTTTACGTGAACGTTAGTGTATGTAATGATGGTCTAGCAAGACTTTCGTTATTAGTTATAATATGAGGCTTTTGCTTGGTATTTCTTTCTTTGTCCGTTGACAAAATACCCACTTTTTGTTAAGTCATTACAATGTCAACATATCTGTTCCTGCCATATGCACTGCCTTGACAAAATACTACCAACAGTATATGGATACAGGGGGGGTGCAAATACTGCCTTGGCAAAATGCTAACCACAGTACATGGATACAAGGTTGTAGGAAATATAGCGACCGCCAGAGCAAAATTCTACGCCCACCCGCCATGAAAATCTCAAAACTCTAACGCCCCATACCACCACCACCCTCTCATTTCACACGTAGCTTTAGTATTTACAGACAACCTACAGACAGCCTCAAAAGTCCCATACTAGTCCTTGCTTGGTATATGTGTCGATGAGACGTAGGTTTAGTAAATATAATTTTGGTGGATTTCACTATCCATAGTGTAATTGATGTGAGGTGGAGTCGTTCATTGGCGTTCATATAACAGCCATTTGTTTAACAAATGAACTTTCAACCTACTTCTCTTTCAGTGGACGTATATAAAGCCCGGGTTATTGAAGGCGCGCGGAATACATGATCAATAGACATAGTCTATAGAATAAGTACTTGTAGAGCTAGCGAACGAATAGTGCAGACCACCTCCGAGGTTAATATATAACGCAGGTATAGTAAGTATATAACCTATTTCATTTTATATATATATACTTCAATATATTCAAATATATTTAAGCGTCTAAAAGAGATGGCATTTATTTAGATTACTGTTTTCGCCTCATGGAATACAAATCGTTAATTTTTAAATCAAGAATTTACGATATATTTACTTAAAACACATTTTAATATTAAATATCAGCCAAGTTGTAATTGTAGAGTAGCCTATATAAAACGCAAAGATTCGATATTTAATCTATGTTAACGTATATTTATACAAGTTTTGATACATTATTATATATTCATATGTATTAGATGCCGTACCCGGTTTCGCTCGGTCCCTTGTACACAAGATTCGGGTGAAACGTTTTCGGTAACCTTAGATACCTAATTTATAACGACTGAGAATTGATCTATCCGTTCTTACATGATTTTTTTTCATTGTCTCTTTATCTTTACTCACCTGGTGTATACTGTATTATTTGTTATGTACAACTGTCATTTGACTTGCTAAATTAATGTTTAAAGTGTAGAACTCTTATATATGGTAGGTTTGGGGGTCACAAGAGTTCCACAAGATTTTGGATTTCTGAAAATAAATACATTCCACAGAATAAAATTTTGTAGAATATATTTTCCCCACATCTTACAAGATGATAGGATAAACTATTATTGTTCCACAAAATAAAAAGAAAATATTTCATCAATTTTTCATGGTCCACTTTTCCAAACGCCCCCAAACCTTGCCATATCTACTTATTTTATAACTATGCGAAGTAAGATACTAAGTTAATCCGGTGTAATCAGGGATGTGTGCGACTGATAGCAAATGTTGTTCGGTGGGACGAAAATGAAATGAAATGAAATGAAATGGGGTTTAACGTCCTACTGTTTTGCTCCTAACTTTGGCTAATGAAGACAGACATACGCCATACAGTGTGCTATATGAGGGAAATTTTGCCCGGGCAGCGGCGCTACGGCCTACTCTTATATCGAATTCCAACTGCCAAGGGATCTTTTACGTGCACGCCAATGTGTACACGGGACCTCGGTTTTCGTCCCATCCGAACAACTGGGACCTCGGTTTTTCGTCCCATCCGAACAACTAGACAGCTGTCCTTGCCATGCCCTCCATCCTGAATCACTGACAAGGGGAAACCACGCCGGAAAATCTGAATGAACTTTCTCGGCCAATACAGGGATCGAACTCCCGACCTCCAGGCTAGCGAGCCAGCGTCTTACCCACTTAGCCGCGTGATCCCCGTCGGTGGGACGAAATAACAAGGCTAGTCGCTGTTAAAATTTAAAGCCGGGGCAAATTCACCCCCTCACAATACTATAATTTGTGTTATTGGATTTGTGTTGAGGGCCCATGTGCAAGATAGACATGGCAGCGGGGTGGGTGGCTGAATGGTTTAACGCGTGCGCGTATGATCACAAGATTGTCATCGAGTAAATTGATTCCCCGCGTATGTGACTAGTAGTAGGTTTTCTCTGGTCCTCTGGTTTCCGTCCACAGCTAAAGACCCCCTACTTCTATTGAAATAAAATTGAACCTTATTATGTTAGTCCCGAAATGACGTAGTTGGTGTCAAGTAAACGTTAACCCCATTTGTCTCTGGGGGATCATGTGGCTAAGTGGGTAAGACACTGGCTCGCTAGCCTGAAGGTCGGGTATTCGATTCCTGCATTGGCCGAGAAAGTTCATCCAGATTTTCCGGCGTGGTTTTCCCTTGTCAGTGATGCAGGACGGAGGGCCTGATAAGGAGAGCTGTCTAGTCGTTCGGATTGGACAAAAAACCGAGGTCCCGTGTACATATTGGCGTGCACGTAAAAGGTCCCTTGGCAGTTGGAATTCGATATAAGGGTAGGCCGTAACACTGGCTCGCTAGCCTGGAGGTCGGGTGTTCGATCCCTGCAGTGGCCGAGAAAGTTCATCCAGATTTTCCGGCGTGGTTTCCCCTTGTCAGTGTGCAAAACAGTAGGACGTTAAACCCCATTCCATTTCATTTCCTTTGTCAGTGATGCAGGGGGCCTGACAAGGAGAGCTGTCTAGTCGTTGGGATGGGACGAAAAACCGATGTCCCGTGTACATATTGGCGTGCACGTAAAAGATCCCTTGGCAGTTGGAATTCGATATAAGAGTAGGCCGTAGTGCCGCTGCCCGGGCACAATTTCCCTCATAGCACACTGTATGGCGTCTTCATTAGCCCAGTTTAGAAGCAGAACAGTAGGACGTTAAACCCCATTTCATTTCATTTCATTTTTCTCTGTCTCTTATAACCATTTGTTATTTATTAGTAAACTTTTAAATATTTATGTAAACGTTTTCGTGTTATCCTCGTTCTATTTGTTTTTCCAGATACCGAATACTAATCAACCAAGATGCCTAAATATTTCTTACATTATTTTGATATGAAGGGAAGAGGAGAGATCATTAGATTTCTCTTTGCGGCTGGTGGCGTTCAATACGGAGAAAATGTCGTGCAATTACCTGATTGGCCGGCACAAAAACCCAGTAAGTCCCTTTTATTATTCGTAGTATTTCCGTTATATCACCACGTTTCATAAATATGTTGGTACAAGCAGTGACGAGCATCATACCCAGATCATAGGGCTACTTGGCAAACGGTCGTCTCGGATCAACACCCTCCACCCCTCTCTCCCTCTTACAAAAAGAAACGTTAGATTAAGTTTAGCCCTGTTTACACTTGATACGTTCATACAGTAAACGTAGTTTTGGTAAATTTGGCTGTAACAACAGGTGGTAAAGCATAATTTCCAAAGCGGTAAATCTAATTTCAAATTTCGATGCCGTGTGCATATCTGTAGTATTCAAGCAAACATGCGTTTAAAATCTTTGGGATTTGTTTTTTTACAAGATTATTATTATTTTATAGATCATGCTCTTGGACAGTTACCAGTATTAGAGATCGATGGTAAACCGTTTCCAGAGAGTATTTCTATATCCAGATATTTGGCAGCAGAATTCGGTACGTTTCTAATATTTATATCATTTCGGAACTAACATATGGTTCATTTTTGTTATTTCAATAATGAGCAGTGGAAGGAAACCGGAGGACCCGGAGAAAACCCACGAGGTTGGGCAGGAAACCTTACTCCTTGTCACGTACAACCGGGGAATCGAAACCACGCCAGTTGACTCAATGGCAGACCTTATTATACAGCGCACACGCGCTATCTATTCGGCCATCCACCCCACCACCCCCGATGTTAGCAAATGGCCTATGATGGCCGGCTTACTTAAATAACAGTATGTTTCACGACATAATGGGTTACATGCTGCTTATAACCGCTGGTTGTGAAAATGTACTGAATCAAAAACAAACTATCAACGATAGTTCATCTCCCGATTCAATGGGATGACCAAGGGGTTCGTCACATTGGTTTACCCAACACGTATATTTGCTGCTGGCTTGTTCTTATCGTTTACAGTGCATGCCGAATGTTGGGAAGTTTCAATTCATCATGTGTTGTCCGAGAAAGTTTTCCGGTATATCCAGGCTTGGTTACCCCTTTGCAGTGGTGTACGACTGGGGTCTGGCAGGGTACAGTGTCTATTCGCTCAGATGGTGTGTACATAAATGAACCCCTTATAGTAGGCCGTAGGGTCGCTGTCAGGGCTACCCCCCCCCCCCGCCGCCCAACGCCAACCCACCCAACGCCAACCCACCCAAGCACACTTTATGGCGTGTCGTCGCGTAAGACGTTATACCACATTCTATTTCAGTTCAGAAGCTATAATGCACACTAATCCTTTCTTAAGTCTTTGTTTACACTTTGACATACCCATACCCTGCTATATGATATTTTGTTTTAATTAGTATTTTATTGAATTCAGAGGCGAGGAATCAAAAGGGCGCATTTTGGATAGAATAAGTTAATTTTCAGCTGATGCCATACAGATGCCACGTAGATGGTAATGAAGTTAAAATGTAACTTGTACAGTTATAATGTATAACTAATTAATATTTCCCATGTATTGTGTGTGGTATATGTCAAAAATAAAATTAATTAATAGTTAATTAATTCTAGACTTCATTACCATTCTAAAAATGTTAAGTGATAAAATTAGCATTTTTATGAATATATTTTATTATAATCAATTAATGTTGTTATCATGATAATGAATGTGTTTTATTTTTCTAGGTTTACAGGGTAAAACCAATTTAGAAAACTTACAGATAGATGCTCTTGTAGAACAGTGCGTCTTTTTACGAGAAGCTTTTTGTGATGCTCATTTTGAGGAAGACAAGCCCAAACAGGTAAGCTAGTGGTTTATTTTGGGGAGTGGGAAGAGGAAAGACTATCCTGTGCTTAGAACATGTGTTGCAGAATCAAGTGTTGTAACTCTTGTAATCTGTTGTATTCTTGTTTTTCCAGTCACAGAAGAAAGGCTAGGTCTTGTGGCTATCATTCCTCCGAACATTCTACAAATGTACGTTGAAAACTAGGAGGTTCTGAGTGACCGGGAGTAGACTCGAGGGAGCTTCTAGACTATGTCTTTTTCAATAAATGATAGCTCTAACTAAAGAAACAGTGACCTTTTTATCACATTGATTTATAGTCATACATTATAATATACAAGTTGTATATTTTAATTCTTTACAGACTGAACTGCACAGGAAGTTTAAAGATGAAACGTTGCCCAGAATATTTGGTTATGTTGAAAAAGTCATTAGTGGGAATAGCACCGGAAGTGGATTTGTGGTTGGTGATCAGGTTAGAGATTTCTTTTATTGTTTGTTTATCTCGTCTTCTCTTTGAATCTTGATTTGAAGGAGGCGCTAAGTGAAAGGGATACAATTGTCAATGGCTCGATTTTCCTCATGGGTTTAGAGTTGTTGTGCCCTATTCCCCGTCTCCTCTCAAATGGAAAAACATCACAGGATTTCAATTCGATTTTCAATGCTAATGATGGAATCCGATTCTCATTATTTTCTCGGACAGAAGCCCTCTGGACACTCCCTAACAATATAAATATTAGTTTTTGTGTTCTTCATGCATACCAGCGGTCACACCACCTCTGATTTGAATACCCACTCTTTGTGGTGAATATTAATAACACGTCAATTATTAACCACTTTAATTGACTTTTGTAAAAAATGAAAATGTTGATTCGATTAAAGATGCGTTATCACTCTCGCCATTAAATGAAATAAAATGAAATGGGGCTAATTGTCGTACTCTTCTGCATCAACAGATTAAATGAAGACGAGTATACGCCATACAGTGTACAATGGTGAAGCGTCTGTCCGGAAAGCGGTACTAATGTCTACTCTTATTTTGAATTCCAACTGTGAATGGGTTAGTTCACGTGCACGCCAACGTGTTTGACACTGGACTGCATCACCGAGAAGGGGGAACTACGGCAACATGGGGATAGAATCCCTTACCCATAAAATAAATGTAATTAATTTTACATACATGTATATCATATTTAGAATAACATCCTTGGCACGGTCCATCAATTGAAAGTTGGTTTGGCTAATTTTACAATCTAATTCGAACCGCCATATTTAACTGATAGTCAACTCCGGTCAACTTCAACATTACTTTTTCACCGACCCGCGAAGAACTCCATTGCGCTAAAGAACACCTTATCAGACTTTATTTTTGTTGAATTTAGATGGTGAAATTGTTTTTGGCTTAGCGTATTTCAGCTCTTGTATATCTTTTTTTAAAATTATATTTTCAGATGACGTGGGGAGATCTGGTTCTTATGGACGTGTGTGACATCATATCACGTGACCCGTCAATTTTGACACCCTATAAAGTTATTAAAGAACACAGAAAGAAGATAGAAGCTCTACCAAAGATAGCCAATTACCTCAAGAACAGACCATTTAGAGACATCTAAGTACCACACTCACAGTCATTGTTATTGACTGCTTTTAGTGGTAGGTTTAACTTCTACCTTATGGTGTGGGACGTTAAACCACATTTCATTTCATGTAACTTGTGGCTGTGAGGTTACAAGTATATAGGCTCAAGTTGTACTTTATTATTGTAGTTTTTTTCTTACTGTCAAGTATAAAATTGGAATTTGCTAAACATATATTATGCAAGAGCTAAATCTGCCTATCGCAAGTCTTTATTTAGGCTTCAGATGTTATAGAAATTATTAATTAGCTCAAATATTAACTCTGTAGACCCCCGGATGGCATGGATACAATTTGGATTTAAACAGTCGTCCATTTAAAATTAAATCAATAAATGGCGGACCACGCTAACGTTTAACGTTAGTCTCTGATGTCACTACCGGAAACTGGTGAGGAAAAGCTTGTCAAGCGAGTCTACCATAGCCATTGAGCATGTTACTTGATAATTGAGAATATGTGGGTGGAGTTATCGTCTGTCAATCAAACGATCGCCAATTCTCATAGACGGTGCAGACACACAACTTCCAACAGTGACAATTCCGTTCAGAACAAAGTAATTTGACTGAAATTTTCAACATTTTCTTTTTTTATCATCAATTTTTGAATTACATGTATTATAGCAAGAATGACCAACTCTTTATAAAACTCTTAACTAATGTATCTTTAATTTTCGTAATGTATTTCGAGTTGTGGAAATAAAATCTTCAACATGTTTTGTCGGGTGTGTCCATGTGTAAAACATCCTTGAAATTGCGAATTCCAAAGAAAACTGTCTGTTTACTAAATTCGGAACTCTGCTGTATACTCCGCCTGACAACTGTTAAGCAGTTACTAATTAATACATCTGAAGGCATTTTATTTTTGAATTAGTTGTCTATATTACATTTGCTGACTTTTGCATTCGATTATTGTATTTGCTGACTCGTTGGCATTTGGTTTTCTTGACTTACTCCCATTCTCTCATATACAGTATTCGTACACGGGATTCCACTAATTGTACGTAAAGCTGTTTCAGATTGTTCATATATTTGATAATCGATCAGATCCCGGAATGCGGGAGACATCACTGTGATGAACCATCATGTTATAGCCTTGACATGCGCCTGGATCTTAGGTAAAGCACGTTCGAGTATCCGGATTAAACGAGGAATGGCGATTGGTTTTCATCGTTATTGTAGTTCTCATCCTTGGTATCCCCAGTGTCCTCATTCCGTTCTACTCGACTATACCCTGGATTAATCCATAGGGTTTCCACGATTTCACATTAATTGTAGCTAAAGTCTACGAACCAATCAAAAAACAGTTTACAAACCAGTCGTTTCGCCTTCGTTTTTATAAGGGTAGATAACCATACCCATGTCCATTTACTGAATGATTTATGTAAATAATGTATATATATATATTTCTAATTCATCGATATCAGGGCCGTAACTAGCTCAGAGCAACGAGGGGGTGGGAAATGTTCTCAGTGGTGCTGTAAAATGGATGGACAATGTATATCTATTGTTTTTATGGTCAACATTTTTTGTCACGGGGGGTGGGGGAGGGGGTTGCACCCCCAACCACTAGTTACGGGCCTGATCGATATGATTAGGCTATAGATGAAATAATAAATATCTAATAAATCCACAAAGCTTTCGATTTCCTTTAGTCGATGGTGATATCTAATGTATTTCAAGTAACTCTAAATTGGTAGACACCAATCGAGATTGTATTGGTTTATTCCACGATCGTTGAGTGTTTTTTGATTTGCTGAGCTGGTCAAACGGATTTTGATTGGAAGATTGGTTTGTAGTTGACAAATCAAAGAAATGTCTTTAATCCAAAATAATAAGTAAGTAAGTAAATCATTTTTATTGCTGAAATGGGGTCAGCAAAGGAAAAATAAAAAGGAACAAAATGTTGATAGCACTGGCGCACGGAGGAATCCCATGATCACACGTTTAAAATAAAGAGGCCTTAAATTAGCATTGACATTTCTTTAGTGTCAAATGTTAGCCTTAGATACTATACAATACATTACTCAAAACATGCCGAAAACATAATAAGTAAATATACAGAAAACTATTTAAAGAACTAAGAAATACATCATCAAATCAAAAATATCTAAATAAGATCTCAAGAAAAGTGTTCCAATAAAAGTGAAGAAAAAGTGAAGCCATCGTGACAAATTTATTCTCGGGTGTTAGAAAATGCGTTTCATAACCGTGAGAACTGAGAAGACACTAATGCACAAGAACCGAGCCAACCCGTGTAACAGATGCAAATGACCACTGGGGTATGTTCCTTATGAAAAAGTCCTATAGAAAAAGTACAGGTTTCTATAGAAGTTTGTGGGATTCTATAGGACTTTTTGCTAAGAAGCTCGATTTCAAGAATGAAAGAATTCAAAAGTGATTCATTGTAAGATAATGTGTTTATTAATGTTTAAAACTGATATATACTCAGGTGCATTTACATGTAGTTTTAAAAAAATATATATACGAAGTCAAATCAGGACAAAATTCTTTCAAACAATTTTTTCAATCGCGAAATCGAGTTCTTTCCGACAATCGAGAGCTGGCTATACGACGAAAATGAACGAGACCTCCGAATATCTCGTTAGATCTCGCGTGAAGAGACATGGCCGACATTTGACTTCTTTGTAATCGTTGCAGGGATTAGTTTTACATTAATTGTTAAAATGGAACTGGGCGAAACAAAGACAACACTTTTAATCAACGCTGCAATGTCTGCAGTAGGTTTTGCGATCTGTATGAGTATAATACCAAAGTTTAAAGACATGTTTATCAAGGCCAACTTGTTCGGAGTCGACATGAGTAAAACTACAAAAAAGAAAGTGTAAGTTCAGCTGCCTTGGCTGTCGATCCAGGTTTATATTTAGTTTATCATTGCATCATGTTTTGTTATTATTGAAACAGTTCAGGAATAGCATATTGACAATTGAACATTTAATTTTACACTCAATTTAATAATAATTTAATAAAAATTACACTTGTTTGGATTTTGGGAACAGTGAATAATAATGGAAAATGAAATATGTTAATATTGTTAATCATATTTAATGTCCTACTTTTCTGCTCCAATCGGGAAGTAGCTCTATGGCCTACTCATATTTTGAATTCCAAATATCTTAGGTTCTAGTACACTGTCTTTGAAAGGCATTTAGTGAAAGTGATATATAATAACAGACAGCTTTATGGATGACATTCACTAGGTTTATTAACTGCACACGGGACCTCGGGTTTTGTACCATCCGAGTGACTAGCTCATGGCTCGAAATGTTTGCCTGTCTACTTGTCGCCGACAGGCAATTTTTTAGTCTGACAGGTAGCAAATAAAACTACCCGTCACTTGCGACAGGGGGACTAAATTTTACTTGATGTTTAGTAAAATGACCACAATACATACATTTAATTATTCGTTTCTAAATGCAAGAATTAAGCACGGAAATACCGCGAAAAGCCGCCATTTGCACTGTTGACATTTCGCTCTGTCGTAGGCTACAGTTACTCACACAGTTGGGAAGTAGACAATTTTATAACAATGAATTTCACCCCATCTACGCTTGTTTTCATCTGCTTCACCACACTAGTTTATAGCATTGTGCAGTATTATATCTAAATAAATTAAAACGCACCCCCAAGTCACCAGTGTGATGTGATTAGTCTTTGAGTTTGATAATTGAGAGTGACAGGTTATTTACTGAAGCGACAGGTCTGAAGAAAAGCTACCTGTCCCTTGGTACGACAGGTAGCTTTTTATAAACATTTCGAAGCCTGGTCTAGCTGCTGTTCTCTGCACCAGTGACAGGAGAAAACCACGTCGGAAACTTTCTCGACCAGCACCTCGATCCATCTTTTGACCGCTAAGTTAGCGAGCCAGCACCTTTCTCACTAAGCCAAAGCAGCTCACCTTATAATAATGCAACTACTACCGGTAGCTTGAATGCAACAAGTCAAAAATTGTCCACTCATGCATTGGAGATTGTTTGATAAACAGCTCCAGTATGTGCATGACCAGTCTAGTCAGAACCAATGGATACCATATGTTAACCTAAGTGGCAGGTGATTAACATTGATCTATCACGATAGAGATATTAAGTAAGTACGGACGGCAGTAGCATGATTCCTTGTACATTCATACATATTAAAATTGTTTGGGAAATGAAATGATTGAAATTTTAAATGAAATTTAGAACTTAAAAATTGACTAGAATACACTTACTTTATGGTACATTTTCATATTAAAGAAATTTGAACCATAAAACATGTTTCTTCAAAGTTCATAAATTGTTCAAAATGTGTATAATTTTTATTTTGATATATTTGCAGACCAGAAGCACTTGGAGTTGTCTGTGGAGCTGTTTTTTTAATGATACTTTTTCTGTTTATTCCTATTCCATTTTACAAACACCTGGCTGAAAATAATAACGATTTCCCTCATGATAAGGTGTGTATATTAAAGCTATTTCAATTGCATATTGCATGTTGAAAAGATATGGAATTTGAAACTGGAATAGGTTTTAAGTCATGGGACTTGGTTGTATTTAGACATGTTAGCTCACTGTTTCATTTCCATTGTTCTAATTAAACAGAGTTTTCAAAAAAGTTCTTTGTGTAGTTTCTGTTGGAGGTCAGTTTATAAAGTTCCTTGTGACATGGACAAACCAGAGCTATTATTACTATTATTAGTTTGATTGGCTATGTCATCCTGATCCAAATCTCTTTCAGATATACATGTATTTGAATTCAAATAGTTTTTCAGAGCTATGTAATAATAATCATTCATAATAATTTATTTAACTTTTATAACACTGGAATCGAGCTGGAACAGCTGCTCTGTGCCACTTTTACAAGGATACCATATGGGAAAGGAAATAAAAATACAAGTTAAAAAAAAAAACAACATTAACATAGTATTCATAATTGATTTGATGTCTATTAAAACTAATGGAATGTGATCAGTTTTTTATCTTATATCTTTGTACTTGTAAATACTGATCAGAATTAAACTGATATTTTAAGTAGATATTCATCATTTATCACAATATTGTAGTTTTCAAGGGTTTCAAAATCTCGCAAATGACGATCAGTGTCTTTAATGATATATAACTTAAATGATATTAATGTTACTATATTGTATATTGCAGTATGTGGAATATTTGGCTGCTCTATTGTCAATATGTTGCATGGTATTTCTTGGTTTTGCTGATGATGTTCTCGATCTACGATGGCGCCACAAATTACTTTTACCAACCATGGCATCACTACCTTTGTTAATGGTTTATTTTGTTAACTTTAATTCTACTACCATTATAGTACCTCATCCATTGAGATTTCTGCTTGGTTTTGATCTTAATTTAGGTAAGTAACGCTCACTTATCATCCTCCAGAATCAAAATTACACAGATTGACTGTTTGTTTCATGCCATAGGTCGATATTAATGGGATTAGAATGTCTTGACAGGTGAGAAATCTTGAATATTCAGGTTATAAAAGGAATTCACACAAATTTCTTAGTCAATCAAGGTAGGCACTCAAGTTAACTGTAGTGGGACATTGTATCAATATTCTTTTTCCAGAAATTTATATTTAAACAATATTTAATTCATAAACAAATGGGATGGAGCAACAGGCTTGAAACCTATATCAGCTTTTTCCATAGATACAAAGGTATAGATACAGAGCAATATGCTATTTACAAAATATGTTTAAAGAGTGTACAAACTACAAGCATTAGATTAAATAAACATATACATGTATGCACGGGTTGTGTGGAAGTGTATGTTGCACTGATTTTGAAATTAAAATCCGTGACTTTGTTTTATAAAAAGGTGAACAGCTTTTATGCTGCTTCCACTGATGTCTCTTTCTTGGTTCTAGTTCATCTGGATTGATACGGGGGGTTGGATGGCCGAATGGTTAGCACGTGCGTGCTGTATCATAAGACCTGTCATTGAGTCAACTGGCGTGGTTTCGAATCCCCGGTTATACGTGACAAGGAGTAGGGTCGCCTGTCCAGCCTCGTGGGTTTTCTCCGGGTCCTCCCACTGCTAAAGACCCCTACGCACAAGCGAATTATTGAAATAAAATTAAAAACCATATGTTAGTCCCGAAATGGCCTAGTTTGTGTCGAGTGGAGGTTAAACCCCATTTCTCTCTCTCTCTCTCTCTCTCTCTCTCTCTCTCTCTCTGGATTGATATGTGTGTCCAACGATTATCTAGAGACAACAGAAAAACCAACTCATTGCTTTGCGATTGTTGACAGTCTCACATAATAAAAAACATTATCTTACATGTTATCATCAAGTCTCTTCATTGTATTTAGATTCCAGAGGAAAACAAGTTTAAATCATTACGTTTCCAGGTCATTGATCAAATGAGAAAGATCTTGTATCTAGCTTTATTCCAGAAAGAGTTCTCAATGTCTGCAAACATAATTTAAACACATTTATTTCAAAGTCCTTCTGCTCCAGATTGGATGTCAAATTTGAGACAGAGTCCTTGACAATTTCAATTCACTGAAGAGCTGTCAGAAATTCTGTTGTCTTGGAAAAAAAATCTTTATTGGACACTATATATGGCAGATGCCTGTCTTCATAAGCCCGGTTTCATTAGTGCTTTTTTCTTTTTTTTTTAAATTCCTCCATGATGTCGAGTTGAAGTGCTTTATAAATATGATTACATGTATTATTATTATGATACAGGTATTTTATACTATGTGTATATGGGAATGTTGGCTGTATTCTGTACAAATGCTATTAATATATTGGCTGGTGTAAATGGTTTAGAGGTTGGGCAATCTTGGGTAATTGGTATATCTGTTCTCATCTTCAATTTCATCGAGCTCTCAGGTATGGTATTTTTACTGTTTATTGTCTGCAATTTTCACAATAGTTTATAAAACCCCTTCTGGTTGACTGACTAGCAGTGACTAATAATGTGTTAATTGTAATGCATATGCTTAAATGCAAAGTTAACGCCTTAGTTATACTTTGATACTGTAAACAGGTGTCAAAATTACTAAATAAAGATGGCTATTTTACATGTCATTAATCTGATATACCAAATTGCTGGAAATGGATTGTTCAAGTGATAAAAAGTGTCTACCCTAATTCCAATGCCAACAAATGCAAATATATAATTGTTTATCAATCTTTTGGTAATAAGTTTAACATGACTTTATATAATATGCAAAAGGTTGAAACAACATACATGTAACATGATATTTTTTTATTTTCTTAAAGGTGAACAGAGAGCAGCCCATATTTTCTCTAGCTATTTTATGATGCCATTTATTAGTGTAACAACAGCTTTATTATATTATAATTGGTGAGTATGTCAGTATTTACAACACAGTGACTCAGTGAGTAAGACATTGGTTTGCTTACCTGGATGTCCTGTGTTTGAACCTTTTATTGGCCAAGAAAGATTTTCTGGCGTGGTTCATCCTTGTCAGTGGTGTAGATCCTGTGTACACAGATCCCTTGGCAGTTGTAATTCGATAGTAAACTGTATGGCGTATCTCTGTCTTCATTAGCTTAGTCGGAGCAGAACAGTAGGACATTAAACCCCATTTCATGTTCATTTCATTTATGCTATATCTCATTTCTCTCTCACTTAAAGGCTCAATACCACTCTTGTTGTAACTGGATAATATGTACCAATCTTTATTCTGGTCAAAAAATTGTACTATTTTAGAATATTTCAATTAATTGATGATGCAAATTTCATCGTAACACACCTTATTTAAATTCAACATAATGGTTTGAAACGTCTAACGTAAACCTTTTCAAATGAAACTTCGATTTAAAAATATTTTCGAACCCTCTGGACAAGTAAAATAGGATGTAATGGATAATTTACACAACAGGTAGGACACTTAAACATCTAGTACTTAGATAGAGATATTATTTATTTTCTGGAGCTTTCAAGCCAGCAAGAGTGTTATTGTCCCTTTAAGTTGTTATTAAACTTTAGATTCTCATGACAGTACATAAATCATTAATTATCTGAAAATATTTTTTTTTTTTCAGGTATCCATCACAGGTTTTTGTTGGTGATACATTTTGTTATTTTGCTGGAATGACGTTTGCCGTGGTTGCCATCTTGGGTCATTTTAGTAAAACTATGTTATTGTTTTTTATCCCACAAATTCTCAACTTTATTTATTCTGTGCCTCAGTTGTTTAGGTTTGTTCCATGTCCAAGACATAGGCTACCAAAGTAAGTAACCAACACTGGTCTGATCTGATCTTAAAATTAGGACTCACATGTTTTTGGACAATATCTCCAAGATTAGCAAAAAATTGTCTAGTTATTCAGATACAATAAGCAAAATGTAGCAGTCCTATGAATATAATCATGAAATCACAGTAATTTAAACATCATGCCCATGATTAATCTGTAGATAATTCCTGACATTTCCCGGAACCAATCAATAGCATTTATAATATGAATAAGGATTAGTTCAAATTTCTAAATGTTTTATAAGCTGTAAATATTAAAATAGACATTGCAAATTATTTTGTTTGGGATTGGTGGTTATGTGCTGCAGTATATGACCCTATTTGCCAGCAGATCTCAAAAGTCAATTCTTTGCTTTAACTTTAAATCACAAAATAAGCAAATTAGAGTTTTATTGTTCCCCTAGTCAGTGCTACAGGACAAAGTTTTATTGAGACATATGTATTCATATATATATATATATTTTATTCTTTTTCAGATTTAATTCATCAACAGACAAACTTGAACTGAGCATCACAAAATTTAAATATCAAGAATTGAGTATTTTAGGGAAATTATTTATTACTATATATAAAACATTTGGTGTTATAAAAGTATGGGAAAAGAAAGGAGAAGATAAACAGTATATGGAGTGTAATAATTTCACGTTAATTAATCTTATAATAAGATTTCTAGGACCCTTACATGAGCGGACTCTGGTCTCAATAATAATAGTATTTCAGGTGAGTCTCAATCAATGTGGAGGGTAACTCGGTGAGTGTGGCACTGGCTCACTAACCAGGAGGTATTAGGTTGGATCTTTCCAACTTGGTTTCAGGATGGAGGGCTTGGCAAAGATAGGTGTCTAGTTAATTGATGGGACAAAAATGGGTCTAATGTATACCATTGATAGCATGTTAAAGATCTACTGACAGTTTGAAAACAAAATATGAGACAGAGCAGCACCTCATAGAACACTGCATTAACTTCTACAGGTAGACTTAAAACCCTGTAAGCTTGAGGGACAATGAAACAATCAGACAATCCATCATTAGCATAGTTTGTGTTTTTCACAACTTGTACTTTTCTTCGGGAATTCCACAAGACAGTCATTTTTATGGGGTCCAGCTAAAATAAAATAAATTTTATATTTTTCAGATATTTTGCAGTATGGTAGCTTTTACTATTCGATATCAGCTGGCTTTATTATTCTATGATAAATTGTCTTAAAATGTTCATATAGATGAGAGAGGATAATATTATCATGTGAATTGTTGCTACAATTATTTTATTTAAACCTAAGTCAAAGACAATACTTAACAATTGAACATCCAAACAAAATGCGTTAGAATCGAAGAGTGGAAGATTTTGAGTTAATATAATGCCAAATAAGGAGATATGATTGGAAAATTTGTTTATTAGAAGATATGATTGGATGATTTTGTGAAAAAATGATATCAAATTGGAAATAATTTGATGATTTTGTCTAAAATCATACTTAATTAGAAATGATTGGATAATTATGTGTAAAATGATACCAAATTAGAAATGATGATTGGGTGATTATTTGTAAAATGATACTGAATTAGAAATGATGTGATGATTATGTGTAAAATGATAATTATTAAGAAATGATTTGATTATGATTATGTGTAAAATGATACTAAATTTGAAAAAATTAGATGATTATGTCTGAAATGATACCAAAACAGAAATGATCATTGGATAATTATTTGTAAAATGATACTAATTTTGAAATGATGGTTTGATGATTATGTGTAAAATGATACCAAATTAGAAATGATGATCGGGTGATTAATTGTAAAGTGATACCAAATTAGAATGATTTAATGATTATGTTTAAAATGATTCCAAATGACAAATGATTAGTTAATTATTTGTAAAATGATACTAATTTAGAAATGATTTGATGATTATGTTTAAAATGATACTAAATTGGAAATGAATGGATGATTTTGTGTAAAATGATACTAAATTAGAAATGATTGTGTAATTATGTGTAAAAGGATGATAAATAAAGAAATGATGATTATGTTTAAATTGATACTAATTGGAAATGATGATTTGATGATAATGTGTGAAATAGTACTAAATAAGAAATGCTTATGAGTTTAAAATGATACTAAATTAAAGGCATTTTTATCGGCCACTAATTAGCCAAAGTGATTTGCATTCAATCACATTTTCATCTTTAACATCAATCTAATTCAAATTGATTACCCTAATCCACAAATTATCGACACCGATTTCCAAAGTGATTACCACAAATAGCAAAATCACCGCTAGGTGCAGTTTGACAATTTTATCGGGTGATTACATTTTTTATCAAACTATGTCCAGCCACAAGAATTGTTCACAGCTAATCGGCGCATTTAACTAATTCATCTAAGTCCTTTGAAATGACTATACTGTCACATGATATCTCCACTAAGTTCAAATCGATTTGGCAAGTTAATAAAAAAATCTAAAAAATGATTTGATGATTATGTTTAAAATGATACTAAAAATAACGTGTTGAATTGTGCTGATCTAATGTGTTGTTTTGATTGGTGTTGGTATACGGTCTGGGCAATTTCTAAAAAAAAATCGTATGGGGAAAGAATAGTCCTCATTTATACGTTGGGGATTGAGATTGTAGAATTCCAGTCATAGAGTGAACCATTACTTCTGTTTGTCAATCTAATAAAGTTTTGATTAACCAATTTCTTCAAAATCATCTTTTGGGCTACATGTATGTTATGTTTTATTTATGGTATTTTGTCTTGTTTTTGTTTTGTTTTTGTGAGAAAAAATTTGTTTAAAAATTATTTTGTCGTCTCTTTTTTTTAATACAATGTTTTATGTAGGAACATATTGTTGTTGGTAATAATCTGTATTTTAAGTTCACTCTCCTGGTATTGCTCTATCTAACAGAATCTTTTAACAAAAAATTTTGGGACATATTTTTATGTTGTTTAGAAAATTTTGCATATTAAAGGAGAAATAAATTGATTAATGTAGAAAAATTACAAAAATGTAAAAAGCTTGGTACAGTAAACCTCGCATAAGTCGGATTCATATAAGTCGAATCTTCGCTCAACTCGTTTGGACCCTTTGATCGTACACGTTTTTCTTATTAAATTTCTGCACGTAATTCGGATTTCCTGTGTCGGATCTTCGCTTAACTCGGATCCAAATGTTCGGTCCATTTGATCTAATTCGGGCTTTTTTCCTTTGCCTAAGTCGGATCGGCAGTATGTTCAGAATTTGACTAAGTCAGTTTCGTACCGATGGCCTAAAACGCGGTTAGGTATTCCATGTGCAGAGCCCCAAAACGGACAATAACAGACATGATAATTTCATGGGCATTATAATACATGGACTGAATGCATGCTGCACGAGATGGGGAAGATGGCTGTGCTTTTTTACGAGTGATAAACTGCCAATGTAATTTTATAAAATACCGTTTTATGAAGAAGAAAACAATGCTCCAACAATATAATCGAAAGATTCCCTCAGAAATGCCTCCAGTATAAATTAATTTTAAATCCAGTTGTTATTTATTATTGAATTCACAATCAGAATGTGTACGAGACAACGAATAACAGAGTTCCTGACATTACCAGTCAGGAGGATCTTCTATTCACCCCCCTCGGAATATGTTGCCGCCTGTTTTAAATGACACATGTTTTTTTTTCTATTTGTACCGTCTTCTGCTGTTGTACTAGTGAATTGTAATCTATTGCCGGTATTGGATTTTTAATTAGCAGTTAAAGCTGTAGGGGTAAGACAGAACACGGGAATGTCTTACTCAGCTCAGTTATATATACAATCAGATATTCAGTGTTCACGCATCATTTTTCATTTTATAATTTACTTATCAACAAACAATCACAAGAAAAAAACTCGGAACGCAGTACAGATATTGACATTATAGAATTTTTACGGCATCCGATTAATTACTTGAATCAGTTATTATCCGACTCTTGCAGTTTATTTCTAATGAAGCTAAGACTGAATTTCTGTCTTCGGCTAACTCGGATCTTCGCTTAGATCTAACTTATGCGATGTTTACTGTATTTCATAAAAAATGTCTTCATATGGACAATTAAGATAAAACAGAAAAAAACTACAACGTACCCACCCCAACTTGTACATGGCAAATCTTGTTATACAGGGTGGGGGGGGTCAAATGATTAGTACGTGCCATAAGATCGGTCATTTGAATCAATCAACTTGCGTAGTTTCAATTCCACGGTTGTATGTGACAAAAAAGGGTCGCCTGTTCAACCTCGTGGGTTTTCTCTGGGTCATCCGGTTTCCTTCCACTGCTAAAGACCCCTACACGCAAGCAAATTAGGGAAATAAAATTGAACCATAAGTCTCGAAATGATCTAGTTTGTATCGAGTGGACATTAAACCCCATTTCTATCTCTCTTCCCTATTATATTGTTGTTTAAGTCATGGGCTTGATCCATTAATTGTGTGTAGAGGAGTAGGGGGTAATGTTGCTTTTATACCTAACTTTGTGGGCTTTCCCCAGGTACTTCGGTTCCCTCACACTTCTAATGATCTCTGTGCTCAAGCGAATTATCGATACTGTAAAAAATATAATAAATGTTATGTTGATCTGAAAATGGCCCATTGAGTATTTAGTGGGCATTTAGCCCATCCCATTTACAGAAAGAAACTTTTAGTTCTCTTAGCGATAGAATGGGATCCACTTCACATCTGGTTCAAATGAATCAAGCCCAAACGAAATGTAATGCAAAGCAACACAGATGTAGAAAGAAACAAGGGGTTAGATCGCCCGCCAGCAGGAATACCTTATGTACGAAACGACTATATTGTGGTACGAAATAACACTTGGGAACAGTTGGTATGAAACGACTATTGTGTATTCTAATTCTCGTTCGACAGCCATTTTTATTAATTTAGCGCAGCCCTTGGATTTAGGAAAAGGAACTAATCAATTTGAGGTACAAATCTCGTGCATATTCTAATTCTGGTTCGGCATATTTAATTTGTTTCAACTGATTTCAACAACATAGGAAAAGGTACGAATCAATTTGAGGTACGAATGAACTTAGTAACGAAACATCCAGGTTACGAAACAACTTGCACCCGGGGAGATAACTCGAATGAATAAATTTCCTTGTAACCGGAAGTTTAATGGACGACAAATTTATGTTGTTATCGAATTAAGCACGTTTGCTTGTGTTAAACAGGGGTTATTTTTTCAAGGTAGTTACTTATTACGTAGTTTATGTACACTAATTTGTTGCAAAGATAGTATTAATTCTGATTTCGAAGTCAGTTGGGTTGTCAGTTTCATTTTGTGGTATAATTCTTCCAAAAGATGCAGGTGTGAAGCGAAGGTTATTTTAATTAATGATGTCATACTTAAATGTTACTTTCAATTTCCGGAGTGTGGACCTATTATTTGTTTGTTTTGCGGCATGGTTTTGCTGTTTAAGACTTTAACTTTCTTTATGTAGCCAGTAGTCCTAGGCATTATTATTTTCAAGAAGAAAATTAACAGAAGTGTCAGACGTTACACTCCTTTCTCTTACTTCCTGATCCTTTTCTAAGTATTGCAAGGAATGAGGATTTCTTAACATCACTCACTCACTGTATGATGTCAGATAGCATAATTCTTGACACAGTAATAGAGTGTGAAAACTACAAAATTATTGCGCTTGACAATCCATTTACTGTAATTTAATCTGATGAATTCTATGTTAGACCGTCAATTTAATGACAAAAGTTAACAACAATCTGAAAATTGGACGGCTATTAACGGTATCAAATGCAAAATAGACCTAGAATAACCTATATGGTGTGGTATTTCAAGTTTGTTGAACTGTTTGTAACAAGGAGGAGGTTTGGTGAATGAGTAGTCTTACATGTAGTCGACTCTTGTTTATGATTCCATTTTTTGGGCAGGACTGTTTGCCCAACTTTCAGGGTTTTCCCTGTATTCCTTGTCACTTTTCCTATCACTCCTAAAAAAGACAAGCTTACATTAACAAGCAAATAAACACTTGTATTACCCTCTCTCAAATTGAATGATTTTATTTACCATGTATTCTTGTCTTTTTTTACTAGATGGATGGTTGATCTGAACTGAATGGAGAACAATTATGGATGAAGATCCAGGATTTCAGTTCAGCATTGATCCACTCGGCGATGGACTGGGTTGTCAAGGATGTGACAAGTTACAGAAACTTGTTGATAAACACCAAGAAGAAAAACAGGTCAATTATAAAACCCTGAAACAGAAAATAGTATCAACAGATCAGCTGATTAAAAGATTTCGTTCTAAATGCGAAGAATATGATCAGCAGAGTAAAATGTTGGAAGATGTCACAAGAAAATTAGAGAGAAGCAAACGCAACACAGAAACAGTAAATAGCCAACTACAGACATCCCTTCAACAGCTCGAACCCCTTAAAAAACAAGCAGAGAATCTGACCACCTCCTTACGGAGAAAAGATTCCACAATACAAACTCTAGAAGATAAACTGCAAGCAGCTGAGAAGCTTCGAGCACAGTTTGAGGCAGCCAGTCGCGTTCACGACTCTGAAAAACTGAAAATGGGAAAAGAAGAAAAGGAGCGGAAAGCTTTAACTAAAAAAATTGATTCGCTAGAAGCACTGAAACTAAAACATGAGAAAGAAATAACCACATTAAAAGAGTCAAATAAAAATTTAAAAAATGAAAATAAAACTTTAGAGAAAAAATTAGAAAAAGCTTCACAAATGAACTCGGGCTATCTTAGTGATGTACATTCTAAACCAAAGAAAAGCAGCAAAAAATCAAACACTAAAAATAAAACTCTCCTCACTGTTGATGATGTTTCTACGAACAAAAACATTCCCTTTACATCAAGCGATAATACTGATAATGAATTGAACGAACCGGTTGGTTTCATGGAACAAGATTCTTCAAGTGAAGAAGAAATAGATCTGGATCATGATTTTGCCATAAGCCCCTTAACTGTACTTTTATCCCCCCTCCCACCCACACCCCAAACCTTTAATTCCACAGATGAAGATGATTGGGATGATGGATTCGGTACAAATGATGTCGAAAATCTGTCAGATTCAGAAACTGAAGAAAATGCTAGTAAAAATATTGGAAGTCTAGAAGCTGAGAGAACAGAACATCCACAAGATCCCTCTTCTGACACAAATAGTAGTAAAATTATCGATACCCCTGGTGGAAATCTAGATGTTGAGAGAATGGAACATCCACCAGAGACCGATCATGGCAGTACAATACAATTTAAACCAGATGATAAAAAGATTTCAATTTATGGGGAGCCAGATAGTAGTCCGTCTTCTACCCAGAAAGATGAAATTATTTACGACCTTCCAAGTACTTCACGATTAACAACACAATGTAGCAGTCAACAAAATGAATGCTTAAATATTCCGAAGGACGACACGTCTAATCATATTAACAAAACAGAAATTTATGAAAATTCTATGAAACAAGATAAAGAGGACAGTGAGCAAGACATACATGTAAAACCTCTTAAGGATGTTCTGACTACTTCTTCAAATCATATTGACATCGATGGCCAATCAGACTTTAAAAAATGCACTGTATCAGATGCTTCCGTAATGAACAAAAATTTTAATTCTGAATCATTGTTAGAAAGTAATGTAAGTGACGTGAAAAACTCTTCAATTAGTTTTATAGATAGAAAATCCTTAGTTTTATCAGAAACAATGAAGCAAACATCATATACCAATGAACACAACCTTTCCTGTGATATTATAGACTCTAGTCCAGTTAATGATGATAAAAACACCATGAATAGTCCAACAGACATTCAGTCTTCAGTTATATCATCTAATATGAAACTGTCATCAGAGTTTGATAATACAAGTAAAGTTAATGAAGTTAACAATATGAACAGTGTAAAGAATGTTTCTTTGGTTCAGTCTGATTTACATAATTCAGAACATGCAGTAAACCCAGCTTTAAACAATAAGATTATCAATTCTTCAGAAATTAAGAGTAACATCACAAAAAAGATGTCAGCAGAAGCAGATAAGACAAATGTCACAATAGAATCTGTACCGAAAGCTGCACTCATTGATACTACAGTGACTGCCACTCCTCCAGGAATAAACAATCCTGATCCATCTACTTCAGAACACAGCACCAGTTCTTCTCTGGAACCTAGTAATGCATTCACTACCTTTCCAACTACCATATCAAACAGAATATCTGCACCAGCTACTAATTCCATTTCAGATTCTAGATCGATTACCAAACCAGTGTCCAACATCATATCTGCTCCAGCTTCTAACACAACTTCTTCCCTTGAACCTAGCACAGATTCAGTTTCAGAACTTATTTCAGCTAAAAAGCCTAGCAACATTACTGGTCTTACTCCAGATTCTTACAGCTTACCTTTTCCAGAGTCTAGTGCTAGATCTGCTAAAGCCACTAGCCCAATGTCTACTCCAAATCCTGGATCCGTGTTTGTGGCTGAGACTAGCAACAGATCTGCTAAAGACACTTACCCAACTTCAACCACAGAGCCTAGATCCACACCTGTTGCTGAAACTAGCATCATATCTGCTAAAGACATTTACCCAACTTCTGCTCCAAAGCCTAAATCCACATCTGTTGCTGAGACTAGCATCATATCTGCTAAAGATATAATCCCAACTTCTTCCCCAGAGGGCAGAGCCACACCTGTTGCTGAGACTAGCATATCTGCTAAAGATACTAACCCAACTTCTAACTCAGAGCCTAGATCCACATCTGTTGCTGAAACTAGCATCATATCTGCTAAAGAGATTAAACTAACTTCTGCTCCAGAGTCTAAATCCACATCCGTTGCAGAGACTAGCATCATATCTGCTAAAGATATAATCCCAACTTCTTCCCCAGATGGTAGAGTCTCCCCTGTTGCTGAGACTAGCATATCTGCTAAAGATTGTAACCCAACTTGTATACCAGAGCCTAAACCCACGTCTGTTGCTGAGACTAACACCAAACCCGCTAAAGACATTAACTCAACTTCTACTCCAGAGCGTAGATCCATATCTGTTCCTGGGACTAACACCAGAATTGCTAAAGATGTTGCCCCAAGTTATATTCTAGAGTCTAGATCCACATCGGCTGCTGAGACTAACACCAGATCTGCAAAAGGCAGCATCGCAACTTCTGCTACAGAGCCTAGATTCTCACTTACTGAGACTAGCACCAGATCTGCTAAAAATATTTGCCTAATTTCTACCCCAAAGCATAGATCCTTATTTGTTTCTGAGACTAGCACCATATCTAATCAAATGGTCACCGGCAGTTCAGAATCTTCTGCTGTAAGCAACCCTGCAACAGGTGATTTTTCTAAAGAGGACATTTCTCCTGAAATGACAACTTTAAATAATTATAATAATAATAATATCAAGACTGTTGTTAATGTGAAGGACATTGATGATTTTAAGAAGGGGAACATTACTGACATAGATGTAGACTTTAAAAAAGTTGATGACATTCCAATTAGCTGTGATAATGTTATTTTCAATGATTTGAAAGATAGTGAAAATAAAAGAATTCTTCCTGATAAAAATTTAGTCATGGAAACTAAACATGTAGATGATAAATCTTCTGAAAAAATGTTTGTGTCTGTCAGCAACATCGAAGATACACATTCAACTGAACATCTTGAAGACGAAATCATGACAACAGACACAACTCTCCGAACTGGACGGAAGAGACGAAAAGCTTCTAAACGTAAAATGAAAGATGAATTCACTAAAATAGTTGATAAAACAAAGCCTAGTGATATGGTTAATACCATCAATAAGGAGACTGAAGGACATAACCAACATCAAAATATTCTCAAGGGCAGAAACAAGAAGGTAACAGTTCCCAAATTCTGTCCAAATGATGATGAGACTGAATCAAAGAAAATATTTAAGCCTATCATAGTCACTCAGAAATCAACAGGATTTTTACTCAGTGGACAAGACTTGACAGATAATCTTACAAAAGGACAATCAAGTAAAACAAAAGGGAAGCAAGGTTTGTCTAAATCGTCTGATGTTAATGACGAGAAACCGACAACCAGTGATATCTTTGATGACATGTTTCAATGTTTGTCTCGGCCTATATCCCCTTTTGACCTTCTGCAGGTTCACAATCCCATCTCTCCCCTTCCACCATCACCTGCTATAACTACAGAAGAATGGATGGACAGTGAGCTTGCAGGTTTCGATGATGCAAACGTTGATGATACAGCTGTTATTGATGAGATGGACAGATCTAATATTACACTGCCCAGCTCCCTTCCTAAGACTAAAGATTTGGACAAACTTTCTGTTGAAACTGCTGATGGTTCTCATCCACCAACTGATAAAATCGCAGATGATGCCAATGTTAAAAATGTCACAAAAACCAGTATCTCTAACACGGAAAACACTTTGCAAACTACAGACAATGAATTAACATGCAATAGTGAGGTAAAGAACAAAAATCTGCCACAAATTTCACAAGAAGACGAAGAAGTCGAAAACATAAACGCTGATGTTAAAAGTGAACAATCAGAAACCAACAAATCTAGACCACAGAAAAACAAAAAACAAACCATTCTGATTTCAACTACAGAAATGAAAAATATGTCTCTCAAGAAAATAATCAAGCGAAAAAGCACAGAAGTTGATGACACAGGTTTGAATAAAATACTGAAACCGGAACCGTTTGAATCCGTGACTGGAAATTCTTCAAATCTTGGAGATACACTGCCTTCAGTTCAGCAAATGTCAGTGATCAGTCCGGAAACAAAACAAAGTATGAAGAATGATTTGGAAACATTAATGTCAGCTGGGCAACCAGAAATTATGACATTTCTGCATAAATATTTCCCTAACAATAGTTCATATTCGTCGTCATGGCATCATTTAGTGTTGGTTATTCATCAAGTTTTAAAGAACATTAACACCGAAATGGTGTATAATTGTTCACAGGGAGATAACTCTTTCAATACCCCCTTGATGTTAGACTGTGAACATCATTTAATACAACTCCTTCAGCATATCTCTAGTAAATTTCCTATGTGCAATTTACATTTCTTCTTAGACATTCTATGGACGAGTGCGATCATAGAGAGCGATGACGTGTGTTCAACAGCATCGATTTGTCGTGTTTATACGGCTATATGTAGATTAAATGGTGACCTAGAACAAGCGCGTGTGTTGATTTATCAAATAGTATATTCTACAAAGAATAGAAGTAATTTAGTGTTACGTTTATTAGCAATTGTTGGCGTGTGGCCGTTAATCTTAGATCGTGATTTTCCGAAAAACAGCATTATGCCCTCTGTGATTGAACATGTTGTGGTCAAATATAGTGGACAATATAAACAGAATCAGCCACAGATTTTCGCAAAGTTTTGTCAACTCTGTGGCTGGTCATGTGATCTCCCTGCCAATAACAATAAAAAACTATTATCTAACTTAATCCAACTGCTGAAGGATCATGAGAAACATCCAGATAAAGTGTATGAGATTATGGCTGGTCTGAAACTTTTATTACAAAAAGAGGACTGGTTGTTTTTATACACAGACTTTATTAATGTTCACATATCATCAGGATGTCAAAAATGGTGTTACAGTAAAACGACGCCGTGGGGCATAGATCCGGTGTATCTCGTATCCATTTTAAAAGTACTCGGTGACGTGCTGGTTCCTGAAAATTCAGAATACTTTAAGATTAAAAATCAGAATATCCAGAGTTTGTTGACGACTTTTCTAATACCGACGCTGCTTAAACAAACCCCAGTGACTATTGTACCGGACTGTGCTGTTGACGTTATAATGAAGTTATCTCCCTATGCCCCACAGTTTTCAATGACCAATTTGTATCGTTGGTACAAAAAGATAAAAGCTGTTATACCCCAGCAGATAAAACTTAGGTTACAACAGACGCGGCATCATTTACTAGAACATCTGCCTAAATTTCAGTGTGCAGAATTTGTTTAACAACCCACTAGTTGATACTCTTCTTTAATATATAAAGAGCTGCTGTTATTCAGGGATGTATATTAGGAATTTTAAGACTAAATCTTGCTAGTCATGTTACTCATTTAAACCATCTTTCTCTACAGTGTCAGATGAATTGTGGCTTGAATTATTTTAAATTTAGCATATCTGTTTATTTAATTCAGTTCAAAGTTGAGATGATTTGATGCTTTTTTTCAGAAAAATGTGATTATGTATAAATTGAGACCCAAATTTTTTGTTGTAGTTTATTGTACATTCAGTGTACATTTAAATCACAATATCTTCAAAATATATTTTGATGAAATTGCAAAATTCTAAATTTTGAAAATATAGGGTGGGGGGGTGGGTCTCTTTTTTTTTACATTTACATGACATACGCTTATATGTAGAATCTTTCTATTAGAAAGCAAAGACCCAACACTTAAGATCCATTTACAAATAATGATTCAATAATTATCAACTAAAAAAAATAGGCTTTCAACCTTTCGTCTATCTTTTACCCATGCCTAATCAGTTCTGTGTTCATTACCCTTGTATGAAATGAAATGGAGTTTAACATCCTACTGTTCTGCTCGGACTGGGCTAATGAATACAGGCATAAGCCATACAGTTTGCTACAATGGAAATTTTGCCCAGACAGTGGTGCTACGGCCCATTCTTATATTGAATTCAGTTTTTCCTCCCCAAACTTGTATAAAGTTGAATCTAGTCATTTCTAGGAATTCATAATCACAGATTGTAAAACCTGTTATATCATTAAAAAATTCACAACAGTTCTTATGGAAGACAATTATTACTAAATTTAATCAATCTACTATGATTCTCTTGTTATTTTCAAGCATAATACTGATAGTCAGAAAGAACATTGGTGGAATCACTTAAACAATTTGAATAGTTAAAATCACTTAAATAAACTTTTCATTGGTTTAAAGATTATGAAATCCTAATGTGTTACATGTATATCATGGACCTAATTTGTCCATGGTAATATCATCTTTTTGTTCAAATTATATTGTTGTGCGTGTATTTAAATTAGAGCAGTAGATCTACTATTTAATTCCTAGAGCATGTGAGTCCAAGGAAACGGAATAATAATTAATATTTTTGTAAATATTTTGTACCATGCATGGTAGACCTATGTTTGTTGTTATCGTTATATTTTGTTATGTATAGAAAATATCACTCAGATTGTATTAAAATATGTTTAAAATATATTTATAATATACACTCATTACAGTATTAATTGGTTGTATGGCTGATTGGTCTAATTAGGTTTGAATGCCCAAATTTGTATATTTCCCTGGTTTCATGCTTCTTTCCACATTTAAAGAATTGAAATGGGGTTTAACGTCCTATTTTTCTGCACCGACTGGGCTAATTAAGATGGGCGTTGCCATACAGTGTGCTATGAGGGAAATTTTGCACGGAGAGCAGCGCTATGGCCTACTCTTATCTTGAATTCCATCTGCCAGTGGTTCTTTTATGTGCATGCCAATGTGTATACAGGACCTAGGTTGTTTTGCCTCTCCGCCCTTCACCCACTGACAAGGGGAAGCCATGTTGGAAAATGTGAGGAATTTCTCGACCAACCCTGGGATCGAACCCCGGACCTCTTGTTTACTGTGCCAACTCCTGAGCCACCGAGGCTTACTCCATATTTAAAGACCATCGAGTGCAAGTGAGTTATTGCAATGGAAATATACCATGTTTTTTTGTCCCTAAATGACTTCTGCTTCTCACACTCTTTGGTTATTGTTTAAACAGATGTTCATCCAATTGGTCCACTATGCCAGGGATGTAACATAATATATGACGATTTATAACTATCACTATGAACACAGGTGGACCTTGCTTTGTCGTCACATCGGAACAACTAGTCTCACTTTGCTTGTTAGCCATGAAAAGTGAAGTCCAGACTTGAAAAACCCTGAAGTTTCTTCTAAGCCCTGTCTGCTCAACCACCACAACCCGAATGGTTAGCATGTGCGTGCTGTATCATATGGTCTGTCATTGAGTCGGCTGGCATGGTTTCGATTCCCCAGTTGTACGTGACAAGGAATAGGTTTTCTCCGGGTCTTCCCACTGCTAAAGATCTCTATGCGCAAGTAAATTATTGAAATAAAATTGAACCCTAATTTGTGTCGAGTGGACATTTAACCTCATTTCTCTCTCTCCCCTTCTCCAGAAGTTAGTGCTTGTTAGGCAATTAAATGATGTTTACTTCTTGGAAAATGAAATGAGGTTTAATGTCCTTCTCTTCTACATCAACCAGGCTGATGAAGACAGGCATATGCCATGCAGTGTGCTATGAGGTAAATTTAGTCCAGACAGTGACATTTCCACCTATCTGTCAAGTGTTCTTTTTATGTGCACACCATTGTGAACATGGGGGGAGGGAGTATCATTTTATCATTTCATCCAAATGACTACTACTCACTGATCCTTTCCAGGTCCTCTGTCCTACTTCACCGACAGGGAGAAACTGTGCTGAAAAACCTTGAGGAACTTTTTCGGTCAACACCGGGATCAAACCTAGGACTTGCTTAGTCAACCAGCTGGTGCTGGGTATTGCCATTGCAGTCACGATATGATACTTAGGCTATTGTGATTTGGGTACTGCGATACGATTCACATAACGATTTATAAGCAGGTCAATATTTACCAAGAAAAAGGAAAGATAAATTAATAATTGATATTTTTAGTCCTGCTGATCTCGAAGAAATAAGACTTGTTTTATATCGCTATTGATGTGGATCAAAATGAGGACCAAAACAATTTAAGAGTGTTTGTGTACCTATGGGTAATTAGGAGTGACAGGTTACTTACTGAAGCAACAAAACAACATAAGAAAGAATCGTGTAAAATCTATTCAGCATCTCGCGATTCAATACGCAAATCATGAGAAGGTGAATTCACGATACATCAATATATGGTACCAGTGCTATATTCACTGACCCGAACATAAACTAAATACAAGCAAATAAAAATTTGATATATATCTTTAATAATTATTTATATTTGATACAGATTAATTTAATACAAGTGTATAATTTAATAACATTTATACAATTACAAGATGATATAACAATAAATAACAGATTAATGTTCCTTCAGGGCTTTCACTTCAAAACTTTGGCAGTCGGTCAATTTTTTATATATTTCTTTACCTCAGTTTTTAACAAGGTATTTTTTTCAAAGAATATGACAACTGGCTAGCATAGACTAGGACATCAAGACATATGATAGCAACATGTTTCAAACAGATGTCCTGTCCTGATGACTAATACAAAGTAAACAGTAGCTTGACTGGATAAATAAGACTACACTATTAATGTTTGACTGAAACAAGTTTATAGAAGTTAGAAATGGTCATCATTACTATAAAAAGTAATTGTAAGTGTTATAGAAATGTAATAGTCAGCACCATGCATTTATATTTGCTCTTTTCATAATCATTTACTTGATAATGTTACCTTCTTCAGTTCTTGTGTTTCTAAACAACTAGAAGTCGGTATTATCCAGACACCTGTTACTGGTGTGTTAATAAAATATCTTATATTACAAATATGTAAATAATTTATTATTTACACGAAGACTATAATAACAGTTGCCCCCAATGCTAGAATAAAATTAATATGATAGATTATTTTTAAATACACATTCTTTCATCAACATATTGCTCTAGTATATGATAATATATCTATAAGAATTTTCTTTCGTTTGATGTCAGCATAACAGAACTTTTGGCATTGATTAGATCATTGGTGACCAATCTTCTCCCACTTACATTTTAAAATCACCCTGGCTTTTTCACGGACCCCCTATTTCCCCCTTGGACTACCTTCACCTTCCGAACTTCAGGTTAGGAAACACTGGACCAGTCTGCCATTTTAATTTAGGAGATACTACATGTAGTTCTCTTTGTTCATCAACAATCAAAGCGGTCACCCATCGACAGTTTACATATTTCATAACAATCTAGATAAAATCAGGATAGAAATGTCATTTAAAGATAAATATGCATCAGAGTACTGTAGTAGGTGATAAACGAGTTTCAAAATATGAAACACTGAATAAGTTATCAGTAATGTGACCTCATTATTACCAAGTAATATTGTACCAATTTGGTAGGAAAAATATACACCCAGTATTTATATTAAGAGATGTGTAAAAATAAAACTGAATCCAGTAGATAATGGGTAGCCTTCACAGGACATCCAAAACATTAATATTCAAAATGTGTTGGTCCTCATTATGAAATTTTTGTGTGTAAAATCCTGATGTCCAATTTCTTATAATAATTGATCTCTATCATTATTAACTTTTTTATCAATGTACCATAATAAAACACCACACTTAGTATTCTTTCTTTAATCAAGCGAATTCTTGACATAAAATTGAACCATACATGTATGTTAGTCCCGAAAAGACCTGGTTTGTGTCAAGTGGACATATTAGACTCCTGGAACTAAAAATAAATAATGTCTACATAATATACATCTCTATAAAACCCTCTTACTTTACCTAAAGTTATACTTTGAAGTTGTCAATCCCAATTGTGCATTTTCAGGTAAAATCTAATATTTTACAGCTTAATGTACCAAAATAAACAAAACCAAAATATCAACAGTAATCTCCTGCACTGGATTCAATCATCAAAGGCCCATCAAAAAAATTTTACCAAACATTTAAATGTGGCGCTGGGTAATTTATTTGTCTTCAGTCGATTCTTAATGTTGTGATGATCAAATTCCATTATTGGTGTTGAATTAACAGCCACCAAAAAGAAGAAGACTTAAACTAAACCAAAATATCAGCTTTACATGTAATAGCATTAAAAAACTATTTTATAGATAATTTTTGTGTAATTACTACTAAACTTGCAATAAAATACAACCATATCTAAACTAATGGGGTGAAGACAGCCCTTTTAATTAAACAACAACCCTCATTGATAAAATACAAAAACCTTGGCAAAAACTTAGTGCTAGGCTATATTTAGGTTTTTTGATAAAAAACCATGATATAAATTAGTTATATTGTTTTATATTCAAAATAGGTTTATTAGAGTATATATGGATATGGTACCAACATCGCAATAATATATTTTAATTTGTTCAGAGCTCTTATTACATGTACATGTACGTTATTAAAATCTAAAGTATATGTATTATCCCAGGTCCAAAAGAAAGTTAAATGAGTTATATTGAAACAGGCTCTATCTGTAGGTCCTGGTTTTGTTTCCGGAGCATAAACATTCCAAGATATCTGTAGAAAACTCAACACACATCGACCTATTAGCCTTTTGGTAATTATAAATGTCTTGGATTTAATCATTTTTTTTAACTATGGAACAAATTTGATTTGGTACATGTATAAAAAAACAAAACAGGATGTTTCATTTATTTCTTTCTCTTATAAGAAACAAAATCTTATAAAAACAGAAAATATTAACAGTATGGTATATTTTAAATTGTCAAGGAGTTAAGTAAAATATTAGAATTTTCTAAACTGATAACATCCCTTTCAATTTCTGAATAAATTATTGTTTTAAAAAAACATAGATTTCGCAGCCAAACATTTATGATAATAATTGCAAAATAGCTAAAAAAAAGAGCCTTCATTTAGTGAAATTTGAATAAGAACTAATTGAAATCTTTTTACGTCTGGAATTTCCAGCATGACTGCAGATATAGTTAAATCTTGTTAGTTTGAAAGTCAAGGGTTTTGGATTTACAGTACATAGGACTCCACAGTCAAATATTTTAACAAACTCAACAAACATATATTGATAATGTGTCAAAAACACTTTCACTTTTCATATAGATTGACGCATACATGTATACTTTTCTCTGTGTCATGGAAAAAACTCATAAATTATTTTCCCTCCAAATTTTAGGTAGTTGATTTATCTTCCTTGGTTGATTAACATGTATATATTAATGGGTGCAGAAAGAACACAAATGATTCAATATGTTTATTATAAAATAAAGTTCTGGAAGTGAATCATAGGATGATTGTGTCTTTCATCGCCTAATAACATCAAATTTTATTTATTCTTAATATCCTTTATCACTGAAATTAATTCAACAGTAATCCATCTTTTCTTCTAGAGATAATCACTAGCGGAGATCTGTATTTATAACATTGTCAATAAATATACAGTTAATCACATTTCATTTTCTTAAAATCAGTTCACTGATAAAATAATTTAACATAAATTGCATTTTTAGTAAATGGATTATAGAAAGCAGTTTGGTAAAACAATATTCTCTGATTCTTTGTGAATCTGACGGGAAATAAAAAGTCACGCATTTTGTAGAAATGTCATCACATCGTGCCGAGTATGTACATATGTCTATCTCTGTTAAAGAATCTTGATGCGATAAACATTTTAACTGTCTAACGCATCCAAAACTTTCATAATTTGTTGTTTCACGATTCTCATAGCATCTCCTGCTGTTGGAATTAAATATTTGTCCATATCCGTGATATTTAAGCCGTCATCTTCACTTGTTCCATATTTGAATGTGATTAATTCTGGATGTTTTTTCTTGGAAGTTATTTTAACGATGCTACCCAGTGCTCGGCGGGACTGTATATACACCATATTTTTCTGTTTAGGAATTTCTCGTAAAACATAAAGATGTGAACTGGTTATTAACATGTAGCTGAAATGTATAATAATGATAAAGATGTGAACTGGTTATTAACATGAAGCTGAAATATATAATAATGATAAAGATGTGAACTGGTTATTAACATGAAGCTGAAATATATAATAATGATAAAGATGTGAACTGGTTATTAACATGAAGCTGAAATATATACTATTCAAAAAAAGTAGGGGATATTTGATTTTGGGGGCATAATACTAAAATATGCAAATGACTACGAAAAAAGTCACTATAGAACCTAACAGAAGAAACATTTCCAGTTACATGTGACGCCCAAACGCACCAATAGCTACCGCATGGAATGCAGGTGATGCTTGGGATCATCATGGGGGTCCAACCCAAGATTTGCACGACTCTGACTTTGAATGTTACAGTCATTGTGGCATTGAATTCCAGGGTGGAAACATCAGTTTAATTGTTTTAGTGACCAGAAAACAAATTTTGATATGCGTCGGCTTACCCAAAATGAAAGGTTACGTGCCCTTGGCATGCTACAGATCGGCACAACACAGGCGGTTGTGGCGCGGACGATGAATGTTTCTCAGTCTGTCATAAGCAGGCTATGGTCCAGATACCGTGATACACAATCTGTACAGGACAGACCACGCTCAGGTCGACCAAGGGCGACAACTCAAGCCCAGGATCGATTTATCCGTACCTTGGCCTTGAGAAATCGTGTCATCACAGCAAATCAGATCAGCGCTCGTCTTCAAACAGACACTGGTGTGAGAGTGAGTGGCCAGACGATTCGGAATCGACTGCATAGGGGTCACCTTCGCGCCCGACGTCCTCGCGTGATCCCTTGTTTGAGAGATCATCACATTCAGGCAAGACGTCGTTGGTGTAGGGATCGTCAACACTGGGATAATCGACGCTGGAGCAATGTGATGTTTTCAGATGAGTCAAGGTTCACTGTTTTTGGACAGACGTAGGAGGGTGTGGCGTCGTCGAAACGAGCGCTTCCAAGACGTTAACGTCATCAGACATGATCGATTTGGGGGTGGTTCTGTTATGGTGTGGGGAGGCATCACTGTTGCTGGAAGAACGGCTTTACATGTTGTTGCAGGGCGTGTTACAGGCCAGTACTACCGGGACAACATCTTGGCAGTCCATGTTGTGCCGTTCGCACGACGTCATGGCCGCCGTTTCATCTTCCAGGATGACAACGCAAGATGTCACAGGGCCAGGATCGTTACAGGTTACCTCCAACAACAGAACATCACCACATTACCTTGGCCAGCACTGAGTCCCGACCTCTCCCCCATCGAGCATGTCTGGGACATGCTTGGACAGAGGTTACGTCAACGTCAACAACGTCCTGCCAATGTCCAAGAACTTGCTGCTGCGTTGCAACAGGAATGGGACAATCTGGACCAAAATGACCTTAGACGTCTCATTAGGAGTATGCCACGTCGGATCAATGCTTGTTTGGCAAACAGAGGAGGATTTACCCGTTACTGACTTGGTTGTGATGCTGTGGTAACTTTGCTGTTTGACCCCGGGTATCATTTTACCCTTATAATGGTCAGTCTGTGCCTTACTTAGTCTAACGATCATTTGGAATAAATCGATGAATGTGAACTTCATTTCATTTTGTCATTTGTTTCTTCGTCAGTTTCATTAGGTGACTTTAATAACACTTAAAAATCAAATATCCCCTACTTTTTTTGAATAGTATATAATAATGATAAAGATGTGAACTGGTTATTAACATGAAGCTGAAATATATAATAATGATAAAGATGTGAACTGGTTATTAACATGAAGCTGAAATATATAATAATGATAAAGATGTGAACTGGTTATTAACATGAAGCTGAAATATATAATAATGATAAAGATGTGAACTGGTTATTAACATGAAGCTGAAATATACAAGCCAACAGTGAGGCTGATGTCCCCCGCCGAAATAGGAAAATAATTAGAGGACACATATAAATTTATCACAAATTATCTTTTACAAAGTATTGAACAATCAAACAGTATATCTTTACTTATAGTCTAAGCATACAATGTTTTTGATGGAATAATTATAGCATATTAAGGGGAAAACATGCTCTATGCCTACAGATCTAGAGTTTGGTTGTATCAACGGGTCTATTTTCCATCTTGCTGCAAGTTGTGCAAAGTTCACTGTTTTCTTTCTGTCATTAAATGTCAATTCATTATTGCATACTACATATTTAATTAATTTATAATAGTTTCTTTTTCAATTTGTTTTTTCCATTTATTTGTTTATTTACTATAAAGCGGAACGGACAGACAGACAAACAGACAGACGGACGAACCCATTTTAATAGTTCCCTGCTTTCTTCGAAAGGCGGGGGACAATCAAAGTAGGAGAGTTATTGTTTTCCAAAGTCTCGACCAATCAAATTGCGTATCGCTCTGCTTACCCTGAGCAGAAAATGCTCATTATCAAACTTAGTCAAGGTATTACTGTAATGAAACTATACACCAAGTTTCATCAATCTCACTTAATTAGAACTAAAGTTATCGTGTCCCAAAGCATCAACCAATCAAATTGCTTATCTCTGCTTACCCTAAGCGGAAAATGCTCATCTTCGAACTCCATCAAGGCATTGACCTAATCAACACATACACCAAGTTTGAACATTCTAGCTCAATTAGGAAGAGAGTTATCGTGCCCCAAAGTATCAACCAATCAAATTGCTTATCTCTGCTTACCCTAAGCGGAAAATGCTCATCTTCGAACTCCATCAAGGCATTGACCTAATAAACACATACACCAAGTTTGAACATTCTAGCTCAATTAAAAGTTATCGTGTCCCAAAGCATCAACCAATCAAATTGCTTATCTCTGCTTACCCTAAGCGGAAAATGCTCATCTTCGAACTCCATCAAGGCATTGACCTAATCAACACATACACCAAGTTTGAACATTCTAGCCCAATAAGGAAGAGAGTTATCGTGTCCCAAAGCATCAACCAATCAAATTGCTTATCTCTGCTTACCCTAAGCGGAAAATGCTCATCTTCGAACTCCATCAAGGCATTGACCTAATAAACACATACACCAAGTTTGAACATTCTAGCTCAATTAGGAAGAGAGTTATTGTGTCCCAAAAAGTGTGACGGACAGACAGACAGACAGACAGACGGACAGACAGATGGACGAACCCATTTTAATAGTCCCCTGCTTTCTTCGAAAGGCGGGGGACAATAATAATGATAAAGATGTGAACTGGTTATTAACATGAAGCTGAAATATATAATAATGATAAAGATGTGAACTGGTTATTAACATGAAGCTGAAATATATAATAATGATAAAGATGTGAACTGGTTATTAACATGAAGCTGAAATATATAATAGAGGTAGAGCGAAATAGGGTTTAACATCCACTCGACACAAACTATGTCATTTTGGGACTAACATGGTTCAATTTTATTTCAATAAACCACTTTAGGGGTCTTTAGCAGTGGGAGGAAACCGGAGGACCCAAAGAAAAACCCACAAGGTTGGACAGGCGACTATACTTCTTGTCATGTACGAGCGGAGAATCAAAACCACCCCACTGGACTCACGTTTAACCATTCGGCACACAACACACATGTTAAATGGGGTTTAACGCTAACCATTCGGCCATTCAACCACCCCACCCCCTTCCCGAAATATATAATAAGAAACAAACATGTATGACTATGTCAGTGGAGAAGAGAAGAACATCGTGTTTAACTCAATATGTCAGGAGTAACATGCATTCTAGTATTTAGTTAGTTCATGCTACATGAATGATTCCCTGATCATGGAAATCGAAAAAAAGAGTACTTTATTTCACTGCTGTCGCGACGGAATTTCCCTGATAGCACCCTGCATGTTGCATGCCCTTCTTCATTAGTCTGTTTAATGCAGATACCCCGTATCATTAGTCTAATCACTCTACTATCAACCTAATATGATTGATTTAAATTGAGGTTTTGAATGTATAGATACCAAATATTTATCATACATGGTGCTATATAAAAATCCATAATAATAATGAAATGAAATGAAATGGGGTTCAATGTCCTGCTGCTCTGCTTCAACTGGGCTAATGAAGACTAGCATGCGCCATACAGTGCGCATTAAAGGAAATTTTGTCCCGGCAGAGGCACTATGATCTACTCTATATTGAATTCCAACCGCCAATGTATACACGGGACCTCGGTTTTTTGTCACATCCAAACAACAAGAGAGCTGTCCATGTCAGGCCCTCCCCGTCCTGCACCACTAGGGGAAACCATGTTGGAAAAAAACAATAATAAACCACATTTCATATGTTAATAGTAGAGCATACTATTAAATGATCAATTTTAATCTAGAAGTAGATAATCAATATATATCCTACCTGTTGTGCATAAAGCCAGTTGTTTTTATTTCTTTACATTTACAATGATAAATAACATCTGGTTTATTTAACCAGGTATCTAGACTAACAATCTCACGTGGTTCATCATCTGATGATACTCCACCATAACCATCTTCACCTACAATAATAACATTATAATATTAATATAACATCAGTCTCTACCATAACAATCTTCACCTAAAATAACCGTATTTATATAGATATTCAAATAAAATCAGTAATAATAAATGGATAGGGATCTAAAAAATATCAGTATACTGTAATACAAGTTTTCTACAATGTGCACCACAATATTGAATTCAGTTTATCTATTTTCAAATAGACTATTTGATGGGTTTTTTTTTTAAATCTAACTTTAAAATACACCATCTTCATTTTATACATTAAAATTTATGTAAACAATGGCAGACCAGGATTTTTATAAAATAATGGTGACTTTAGACTTTTATTTACTGTACTGAAATTTAGTTTCGCATTTTTCATATCTTTCACACTTGTCATTTCCTTAATGTTTTATATACAGGTGTAAATAAAGTATTAATCCTACCTTCATCTTCATCACCTATTGTAAAAACAGATGCCATATTTCTGTATCTTTTACCTACTTTATCTGTATTACTCACATGTCTGTAAAAAAACAGTATACCCACATATCACTTTAATACCAACTAACAAACACAAATCAACCATAGAAAATTTGCAAATCTGATTTGCAAGTACTTTTATTTATCATGGATAAGAAATGAATTAATATACATTTTTTTCTTATGAATAAAGATTGTCTAGTTTGTAGTCTATATAAGGTAGTTAAACTGCACAACTAAAGAAGGACAGAACAAACAATACTAAATATAGTAGAGAAGAAACAATTAGATGCATATTTCTTTATGTGCAGCTGTCACTTTTACTAAAGTGTTCATGAATGATTTTGTATTCCTCAATTTTAATCTTTCATGATTGTCTGTAAAGGGGAGCCAGAGTGGCTCAGTAAGTAAGACATCTCGCTAACATGGAAGGTCCCATGTTCGATCCCGGGTGGGCTAAGAAAGTTCACTGGGATTCTCCAGTGTGGTTCCAAGTATTGGTTGAGAAATTTCCTCAGGATTTTCTGGAGTGGTTTCCCCTTGTCAGTATTGCAGGACGGAGGGCCTGGCAAGGGACAACATATATGTTTGGATTGGACGAAAAACCAAAGTCTGGTGTACTTATTGGCACATAATTGGAAACTGAATTAATAGTAGACTAGTGCCGCTGTCGGGGCAAAATTTTCCTCATAGCACACTGTATGGCATATTAGCCCAGTCCATGCAGAACAGTGGACTTTAAAGCCAATTCATTTCATTTCTGTCTGTAAAGAAAGTATTCAACAATATACTTGAATTTAGCTAAAGTAAAAGCAGTGTTATAAAGTGTATTAAAACTATGTTTTTCAAACCTTTCTGGTGCCATTTGATCGTTTTTAATATAATTTGTTAACTTCTCTTTCACTTCAGCTGATTTACTTTTCATTACTGTTGATAATTTACCAAATAAAGAATCCACAGATGACTGCAATAAAATAACAAATATTTCTTAGATGATCAACTTCATTTTCTAGGCCTGATAACTGGGGTATGACAGTCAGAAAACTCATTATTTGAGTTCAGGGGAAAGTTTGCTTACTCTTCCCAAGACACATGATACCACTTGTCAAATATGACAGAAAAGAATTAATGTTAGGAGTCCTAACTTAGGACTTCAGATGCCGATTGGAAACATTATTGACAGGCCCATAGGGGGAATAACCAAGGTCAGTTTTAGTGAAATGACCAGAAATTCCTATTTTTTTTATTATTGAAAACGTACATTCTTCCTGAAGTATGAAGTCAATTTTACCTAGCGCAGGAACTGCTTCAGAGCAACTATTTTAATTGGCCCAAAGTCAGACCTCTGTGGGAAGTTATATGGCTGAGTATATTTATTGTACTATAATAGTTTTATTGAAGAAAAGCTGAAACTTTGGGTTCAAAGGGTTAATGAGAGAGAGAGAGAGAAATGGGGTTTAACGTCCACTCGACGCAAACTAGGTCATTTCGGGACTAACATATGGTTTAATTTTATTTCAATAATTCGCTTGCGCGTAGGGGTCTTTAGCAGTGGGAGGAAACCGGAGGACCCGGAGAAAACCCACGAGGTGGGACAGGCGACCCTACTCCTTGCCACGTACAACCGGGGATTCAATGGGTTAATGGATAGAATATATATTTTTACCTCTTTACTGATTCTAAAATCGTCTGTATTATCTAAATCTGAACAACTACTGGTGCCTGTTGTATCTGGACTACATACAATACAATATTTAACATTGTGATCTGATAAACCATCTGTTAAATTATCTTTTAAAACATCATGTAGAGCTGAAATATTATAGTACGCATCAAAATCTATTTCACATTTAAAATATCAGTTAACCCTTTTAGCACTGAGGATGCCCTTAACTACTACTCCCTTTAACACCTCAAACTGCCCAAGTCACATGTATATTTGTTTAGTATTTAAGGACTGTATACAAGATCTGTTACTCAAATTGTTTGAGACAGTCTAAAGAGTAGTAGTTTTGGGTTGTTTCAAAAATGAGATAAAAAACCTATATTTAAAACCAAATTATCTTTGATATAAATAAAATCAAACATGTCTGTGTGTGTGTTCGCCCATCACGCTTTGTCGCCTCGATCCACTACCACATATGTGGTATCACATTAACCAGCATTACCTCCTGAATGTTTTAGGCCATTGAATATGGGCCCCAGCCGATATGGGCCTGGGCCCTTAGCCCATCAAAATTGGGCCCCTGGTAAATTGGGCCCCGGACAATATTGTGCTCCAGGCATATTCACATGTGCCAAGTGCTAAAGGGTTAAACTGGTTTAAGTTAGATTTATCTAATGTGTTATTTAGGATCCTAATACCACAATGTAACTGTTTATTGAAAAATATCAACGTCAATATAGAAATTAACTATTCTCTTTCTAGATAAGGAAAGATAATTCTAGTATAACTGACCTGTATAACCACCTCTAGTTGAACTGATATATTGATGACCTTTCTGTAGGAAATTAGCTACAACCATATTTACATATTGATCTTCTTCTTCTCTTCCACTTCCCATAAAACACAGATGTTCTCCTCCTGCTACAGATTCTGCGTATGGAAGAGAGAAATAGTGTTTAACGCTCACTCAATACAAACTAGGTACTTCTTTATTTCATAAATTTGTTTGTGAAGGATCTTTTCTTCAGTCGGGTGAGGAAACAGGTGAATCCATGCATCAGACCACTGGGCAACATCCTGCTTTGATATATGATCAATGAGATTCCTGTTAGACTTAATTCGTTTGCATGTCAAATTAGTACACTTATAAAACTCATTTTTTTGTCAATCCAAATGACTCAACCTGTCAATGGCAGCCCATCAGGCATAATCCTTCCTTACATGTGGGAACGTGACTTAAAAATTAATGATTTGACATGTCTCGGCATCAACAGTTCTCTAATCTCTAAACTACAATATTTCCTCAAACCTTTTTACATGTACATCAATCATAGCCTGTAGAATGTTTAAGGGGAGGCAAGGGTCGACAAATGTCAATTTTGACTCAAATTATCGATTTTTTATATTTGCATATTTGTGATGTTCATTCATTTTTATTTCACTTGTAATTAAAGAAAATGCATATAAAGTGGTTTATGATAGAAAAAATGCACTTTTGAACACTCTTGCAATTCAAATTTTGCTGTTTTACCTCTTTATGTCTTAATTTCTCAAAAAGTAAAATATCAACAGTCGACAACCTTACAAAAAATCGTTCTTGAAAAGTTTACAACAGATATGTCTGAAACTTACACACATACTTAAGTAATGTTAGTTCCATGCAAATAAGGATTTTCAGTACTCTAAATGAATTTTTAGTGTAGTAAATTGGCATTTGAAATCTCTCATTGAAAACAACATTTTTCATATTTTTTGTTTTGTTGAATAGAATGACATGTAAGGACACAATAACAACACCATATTGATAATTGCACAGAGAAATGTCCTAGGAACAGTTTAAAAAAAGTTCCAGGCTTCTACCTTTGATACTTTCAGAGAACGATTTTTTTTAAGCAGTAAAAATTAATTTTTTTGTTTCCATGGTAACCAGTAAAGCAGATTCCCCCAAAACTGCCGATTAGCCTATTTTGTCGATGTGAACAATTCCTGAAAATTTCAAGTTGATAGCATTATTAGAAGCCAGTTATTTTAAAATTCATATTTGTCGAGCAGTGCCTCCCCTTAAACAAGAGTAAACGAAATGTTTAATTTGTAAAATAAGAAGGTTTCTTACCTGCAGCGATGGCCATTTGTTGAGCAGCAAAGAGACCATGTACAGCTGTATTAAACTCCACAGGGTTCTGTAACATCTGTCAAAATTACAATAATTCATATAGGGTGGTAAAGAGAAACTTTAACAGGTAAAATATTCATTAAGTTTAAGATGACAAAATGAAATGAAATGGGGTTTAACGTCCTACTCTTCTGCACCTAACCTGGGCTAATTGAAGACGGGCATACGCCATACAGTGTGCTATGAGGGAAATTTTGCCCGGGTAGCGGCACTACGGCCTACTCTTATATCAAATTCCAACTGCCAAGGGATCTTTTACGTGCATGCCAATGTGTACACGGGGCCTCGGTTTTTCATCCCATCCGAACGACTAGGCAGCTGTCCTTGTCAGGCCCTTCATTCTGCATCACTGACAAGATGAACTTTCTCGGCCAATGCAGGGATCGAACATCCGACCTCCAGGCTAGCGAGCCAGCGCCTTTAAGATGACAATACAGAACCATTCCATGGTTCCATAATTTATGTAATTTAGGGGAATATATTCATTAAAAGTGACACAAACTATAAGATCTACTAACAAATAGCAAATATAAAAAATCTTCTTGTTTTGTTTTGCATATGAAGTGTAACATAATATTGTAATTGTACTTTGTAATATATTTAATATATTTATTAATAAACATATTACAAAGTACAATTGCAATATGTAGTACACTTCATATGAAAAAAGGCTCCTTATGTCCGAAACGTTTGATTATTAATAAACCTCTTGATCACACCTATTCAGTTCATCTGACTGGTTACGGGGGTTGTGTCTCATCTCACATATTTATTAATATGGAGACGAATTCATGTGAGCCTTTTGCTTGTTATTGAATCCTTACTTTATGACAATGTGTGTATTTAACATCAATCTTATATGAACAAATATTGTTTTAATATCCTGACCGAGTTCAATAATTACATGTATTCATAAAACTTACCAGATTAGCATCTAAATGAAAAGCTGTGGGAAGATGTCCACTGTTGTACTGTTCAGCAGGTCGACAATCAACCAAAAAATATCGAACACAATCTTCCTTTTAAAGACAAAAAAACAATAAAAAAATTTCAAAACATCACCAGTTATTACTAATTTTGTATGTCCCATGCCTTCTAACTTTTCACATCAGCAAATATTTTTTTTTAATTTTTACCCAAATAGGCAATAGACATACTTAAACTTACTATTGTATGTTTAATATTTAGAGTTACTCACCCCTGTTTGTTGATTAGCTTGTAATAATTCTCCAACAGAAACGGGTAAACATAAAGCCTGTGCTACTTGTTCATCAAAACTTGTTCGTGTTTGAACTAACTGGGTACCAAATAATGGCATCTGATAATCCTACAACACATACCGGTTCATAACTATTTCATAAATAAACTGGTTTTTGGATAGATGGGAAAAATATCTATTATTAATTAAAATTTTGTTTTGTGCAATCTTTCTCTAAGAAGTACTCAGGCTTACTTTATAATTATGATCCAAGAGTAATGTATGAAAAAAGTAAAAATAAAATACACAATAATGAAATACACAACAAAACAGAAAGTCTAGATAAAATAATTAAACAACACACTGTTCAAATATGAATGTGACACATACAGACTGCTCCTAGAGTTTGGATCTAACAAATCCCTAAGTGTGCCAATTCGCGGTGGATCACGGTGAACCACTTGTGTGACGATATCGTTCCGATTCTAGTGTGTTGAAGGAAAATGTACTTTATTTAAGTTGAATATATGTATGTTAATTTTGAGCGAGGAAGCAAGAGTTGAACTAATATAGCGTGAATAATGTCCAGCACGAAAATTTTAGGCCATAGTTAAATGTGACGATTTTGTGATACTTCAAGAACTAACTCAATTAGTAAGTGAGGAGCTTATGGAAAGGAATTGGGTTCCAGACATCTGGTGCCTGAAAGCTGAAAGATCTTTCACTATATACTACAAGGTTAGCTGATTTTGGATTATTGAACAATTGGCTGCTAATTAAGGCACTGATATATTTATAAGCCAGCAGACACATTTCGTACAGAGTGGATATAATATTAGGGTAATGTGATCATGTTTCAGAGTTTGCGTTGCAATTGAAGATTATCAAGAATGCTTTGTTGAAGGTCAATTAGAAGTGAACTGAAATTGTCTAATCTTGGAGATGAGAATGTGAACCACGATTTTTACAGCATTCATGATTAGAATTAATCAGTATATACTGGGATATATTGAAATGTTATCATTGATGATGTAAGTGATAACTGCTTTTGTTAATAAGTAAAAAAATAATCTTACTCGTTTAAACGATTGTGGTGTTTTGTTGGAGTAATACTGAGAAAGAGCACAAAAATCTTCAATATCCTCAGCTTCTAATCCCGATGGGAAAACAGACATAGATTCTATAAATAAACAAATAACCAATTATGATATACAAACAAATCTGATGAAGACATTTTGATCTCAAGTTCTGTGAAATATATACAAGGATAAAGCAAGGTGTGAAATAGTTTTAAAAAAAAAAAATAGCTTTGTAGCTTTGAAAGTACTTTCTGTCCAACAACAACACAAACAGTCAAGACAAATCCAATATGACAAAGTGAGTGGCAAAGCTCCAAGTGAAAAAATTTAACTAGTCACTGGATATCATTTCTATCATAGATGACTAAAGTAACAGATGGTATCAGGTGTTCTGAAAACAGTAAGCATACACTGGCTCATGCATAACACACCTAGAGTTTGAGTTGAATATTTCAAGGAAGTTTTTGTTCAGAAACTGGCACATTCCATTGATTAGTGTTTCCATAGGCATCACACTAACACCTTATAACCTAACCCTACTTTCTGTCACATACAGGAGCCATGGACATTGGCTCGCTAACATGGAGGTCCAGTGTTCGATCCCTGCGTTGGCCGAGAAAGTTCAACAGGATTTTCCAGTGTGGTTCCATCTTGTCAGTTGTGTAGGACTGAGGACCTGGTAAGAGACAACGTAAAGTCATTTGGATGGGATGAAAAACAGAGGTCCGTAAAAGAACTGTCGCTGAGTAGGCCATAGCGCCGCTGTCCGGGCAAAATTTCTCTTATAGTACTATCTTCATTAGCCCAGTCGGAGCAGAACGTAGGACATTAAACCCCATTTCATTTCTGTAACTTACAAACCTGGGATAATACCAAGGCTATGCATAGATAACAGGTCTCATGATCTACAGAGAGGGAGAGAGAAATGGGGTTTAACGTTCACTTGAAACAAATTAGGTCATTTTGGGATTAACATATGGATCAATTTTATACCAATCTATCGATTGCTCATAGGGGTTATTAGCAGTGGGAGGAAACCGGAGCACCCAGAGAAAACCCACAAGGTTGGACAGGCAACCCTACTCCTTGTCATGTACGAGCGGGGAATCGAAACCATGCCACTTGACTTAATGACAGACCTTATGATGCAACGCGCACACGTTTAACCATTTGGTCACCCCCAACCCCCACCCTTATGATCTACAGCACACAAGTTAAACCACTCAGCTTCCCAACCCCTCTTCAAAGCAAAAGAAAACATAACACCGGATTGTAGAGGCACTTTAATTATAACTCACCTATTAATGTTTCCTTTGGTTCATCTGATAGAAGAATCATATCTCTAGAGTTGACTAATATAACTAACGCCATAAAAAACACCAGAAATGGATCCGAATGTTGAAAATAGACATCCCACATTATTGTTATCACTTTCAAATCACAAGTAGCAGCAAACAAACTTAAAAACTGAAATAAATAATAACACATGATTATTCACTGTTAAAGATGAGAGAAACTGGACACCTGTTTATTCAACAAAAATAGGTTACTTCTCAACTAACTGATTTAAAGAGGCAATATTGGAGATAAAATAAAGAGCTAACAGTTCTCGCTATAATAGTTAAGAATTAGATAACATAAAGAGAATATGCTGAAAATTTCAGTCAAATTGATCCACTCTGATCCAAGACATTAGCCATTCAATATTAGGCTAGCCTCGTTCATCATTACTAACATCTGTACGATAATTGACAAAGTCTCAATTATCTATTTTTACGTTAAAGATACATTCAGACCTAAAGAAAATACTGCAATAGGCAGATTTTACATTTTTGGGAAAGTATCTTTACGTTAAATTATCCATCACAAAATATCGCAGGCTAACGATGGCATTGAGGGTTGATTATGGTCTGGATAAGTTAATCAATGTCTAATTAATAATTTACATAACATTTCAGACCTACATGTAAAGAAAAACCTGCAATAGGCAGATTTAGCTTTTGCATAATGTATGTTATATCATTTGCCTATTTTAATTAGCCATGTTAATGCAGAAATGTTGGAAGTTTAAACTCTATTTCATTTCAGTTTTGTGCAGAACTCTCCAGTTTGGTCGTTTTGTTATAATTTCTTCTAGTCGTCGTTTCACTTACAAAGTACACATAGGACTAGACAAAAAAAACAACAGATGTAAAAATTTGTAATGTGGAACAAATTAAAAAGGCACAGACTAAAAAACTAATACAGACTATACACAACCAAAAGTTGTCATATCAAAAAATATATACTCATAGGTCGAAATTATTAAAATCATGTTATGGCTATCTAAAGTTTACATTACATAAGTGCAGGATGGAGGGCCTGGCAAAGGACAATGTATAGTTGTTTGGATGGGACTAAAAACCAAAGTCCTGTGTACACATTGGTGTGAACGTAAAAGAACCCTTGACACTTGGAATTTGATGTAAGAAAAGCTGTAGTGCCGCTGTCTGGACCAAATTTTCCTCATAGCACACTGTACGGCGTATACCTGTCTTCATTAGCCCATTAGGTGCATTTCATTTTAATAACATTACTTGAAATTGATTTCACTATGATATCTTTATTGTTTACTGAACGTCTAAAAGATAATTCATTTGTGTCCAGAACAACCAGCTGAAGATGTTATCTAACCTAAGATGAGTATTATAATCCTCCAGAATACTATCTAATGAACACTCTGAAGACTAATTTTTGTTTTAATTTAAATAAGGAAAATGAACAGTTTTCGCATTTTTTTTTTTTTTAATTTAAATAAGGAAAATGAACAGTTTCCGCATTTATTTTTGTTTTAATTTAAATAAGGAAAATGCTGATTGACCTTCTTGATCATTCAGGCTTTAACACATAACAATTATAAAATCTAATCAAATAAACACTTCCTGTTATAAATTTGCTCTCTCCTCCCTCCATCCACACTCTCTCTTTATATCAAAGGATAGCTTTAATGCAGTAATTGTAACTATTAAAGTTCTCAAGTTAATAATTAATACTTAGCTGTAATCAAACACTAGGCAAATGTACTTGTTCGAAAAAGCAATCATGCTTTTTCCTTAAAAAATCAAGAAACATTGCATAATTACACGCTCATCAGTTCAACTCTACTTAACTTATTTTTTCCTGGTAGTATAATATTCTTAATGACCACAAAAAATGAAATTTATACTCAAATAATGTATTCAACCCACAATAAATTACAGAGTATCAACAAAGCAATCTGCTGTTGATATCTTTGCCTGTGCCTTACTCCAAGTTTGCCTGGTAACGCCTGCACTCATCCATTCAGCATCTTGTGTATTACATAATGGTGGGTATATTAAAAATTGTAAAAAGTTTATACAGCGATTACATTTTGGTTAAATGAAATGAAATTGGGTTCAAAATCTCTTTTTTTTTCTGCATGAATCGGGTTAATAAAGACAGGCATACACCATGTAGTGTGCTATTAGCGAAATATTTCTTAGATAGCTGCGCTAAAGCCTACTTTTAATTTTGATTTCCAACTGTTGGGGATCTAATGATCAATGGAATAAGACAGGAAACTAGGCTGGAAAAGCTGGAGGACTTTTTTCGGCCAATGCTGGGAAGATAGTCTGGGATCTCCTGGTTAATGAGCCAGGGGCACAACACCCAATCTTATTTTTACACCTGTTAGGATACCGACATTCAACAAGCAGCTGCCAGGCAGGATACCTCCACATTTTGCAAGAGATGGATAGAGGGCAAGCTAAGAACATAATTGAATTTTGTACAATCAAGGGCTATAATCCAGAAAGTTATGGTCTGAAATACGCAAATATCAAACGGGAGTGAGATTTTTGGAATAGAAAGATATGTTTTAAGTTTCATCAAAATCGGATAAAAATTGTGGCATCTAGAGGGTCCACAATCTTGATATACCATATTTTTACACTATTTGCATACAAGGGGCAGCTATTATGTCCGTCAGTTTTAGTCCGATTTTCACAAAATTCGAACTCAACCATTATTAGTGTATAACTGTGATATATTCACACATATTTTTTTTTAAATCAGATAAAAATTGCGACCTCTATTGGGACCACAAGCTTAAACATGATTTTTCGTACAATCAAGGGCCATAATTCAGGAAGTTACAATCTGATATGCACGAATATCGAAAGGAACCAAGATCTTTTGGTTATAAACATGTATTTCAAGTTTCATCAAAATCAAATCAAAATTGTGACCTCTACAATCAGGGGCCATAATCCATGAAGTTATGGTCTAATAGATGCAAATATTGAAAGGAACTGAGATCTTTGGGTGATAAGACCTATATTTCAAGTTTCGTCAAAATCGCATAAAAATTGTGACCTGTAGAGTGTCCACAAACAAATTGTGGACAGACGGAATGACAGGAGAACGTCCGAATGGACAGTGGCGACAACAATATACGTCCACATGAAAATGTGGGCGTATAAAAATAATACACATTATTAAAAACCTTTAACAGGCAAAGGGCGGTTGGGTGGTCGAATGGTTATTTTGTGCAAGTTTGATCATAAGGTCTGTTATTGAGTCAAGTGGCATGGTTTCGATTCCCCGCTTGTATGTGATAAGGAGTAGGGTTGCCTGTCCAAAGATCAATACATGCTTGCGAAATAAGAAAATAAAATTGAACCATATGTTAGTCCAGAAATAACCTAGTTTGTTCTAGACTTATTCATTTATAAACAAGCTTACCCAATCATGTGCATATAAATCTGGTGTTATTCGTTTGGTATCAAGGAAGGAAGATAACTCTGGATCATGGTATTGTAATAGCAGACGGAATAAATGGAATGGTTTACCATTCTTCACACAATCTCTATAAAAATAAACATAAATCAATTTAAAAAATACAACTGGTACAGCCGGCGATGTGAGCTTTGCAACTAAAGGGAATATCCCAATAATGGAACATTAACATAATCTTCAATAATAGACCTTAACCTTCAATAATGGTATCAAGTCTGATTTAAACTTTCAACATTCTTGCTCTAATACAGCAAGATGTACATGTAAGACAAAAAATGGATAAATTAGAAATGACCAAAAGACTTTACCTAGGTCATTTTAAAACTAATATGTATATCATTTTATTTCCAAATGTATAAATCTGTGGATCTATTAAAAAGAAGGCAGTACTTTTGGATAAAGTTTCCATATTCTTATTGTAACTTACCAAGGTATATATAATATTTTCTCTTGACTTAACAAGGTATACTGTATCTTGACTTACCAACATATTTAAATTTCTCTTGACTTACCAACATATACAATTTCTCTTCACTTCCCAGCATATATAATTTCTCTTGACTTAACAAGGTATATTGTTTCTCTTGACTTATCAAGGTATGTTGTTTCCCTTGACTTATCAACATATATATTTTCTCTTGACTTACCGAGGTATATATTTTCCAACTATTGCATAAAAACAGTTATAAAGTTCAGCTTTCTGTAGTTTCTGGGAGAGTAAAGGTTGTAGGATATCAAGCCAGCCATTATTAGATGTATATTTTATATTCCGTGATTTACAGTAAAATGTGATGATGGATTCTAAGTCACTGACTATAGACACTTTATCTTCTTCTTCATTTCCAAGTTTATCTGAAAAAGAAAATCCCACAATTTTACACTAATTACAAAATGTACAATTATAAAAATAACATATTACAAATCAATGACGTCATTTCAAAAATAATATGGAATCAGGGTATTACACACAGGACACAAGCCAGAAATTTTTTTATTTTTTTATTTTAGTTGTACCTGAAAAAAAGGTCAGACAGACAAAATGACAGGCACCAGAGGGATTGTGCCTAACAAAGCTTGCATTTGTGTCTGACAGTATTTGTGACAGGTGCCTCATTACACACTTGTTGGGAAACTGGTTATCACATTATCTGCTCTCGTCACTGACTGTACACATCAACCTCAACTCCAATTAACCATCTCTATCCCATTGCTGTTCCATTGCTTCTCAACATTCTCTTGCATATTTGGCATAAAAAATACTTCAATGCTAATTGCTAAACAGAATCTTATGGAAAGAAATTAAGCAACAGAAAGGACCAATTCTCTCACCTACTAATGTTGAACAGTCATCTCGTAACACACTCTGTTCTTCCATATCATAAAAGCCATCAAATGAAGACATAGCATCCCCTTTACCCTCCACATTCAAACATATCTAAAGTATTTACAATAATTTACATAATATACACACATCCTAAATTACTGTATCACAAATTAGTAAAAATATTGATTTACAAATATTCTTTTCATGGAAAAACAAAAAGAACCATTCCGTTTAATTTTATACCAGATTTGCGGTGTGAGTGGTTTAATTTGCATGTTTAAGATCATAAGGTCTGTCATTGAGTCAAGTGTGGTTGATAATGACAAGAGAATCATTGTTGAAACGTAGCTTTAATAGAAATACAGTAATTGTTATCCATAGAACTGTGTTTATTTTGGTGTCGTTTTGATCCCAAGCTTATATGTGACAAGGAGTAGGGTTGAATGCCCAACCCCACTTGTTTTCTCCAGTCCTCCAGTTTCCTCCCAGTGCTAAGACCACTATGTGCAAGCAAATTACTGAAATAAAAGTGTAACATATGTTAGTCCCAAAATGGGCTCGCTTGGGATTAGTGAATGTTAAACCTCTTCTCTCTGTCTTTCTATTTAAAACAGATTCTATATATCTGATTAGAAAGAAGAGATTCAACACCAATTGTATCTCACAAATGCAGTTATAGTTTTAGAATGCAAAACGAAAATTATTTGCATAAAATGTTATACCTGCCATATTTCAGCTCGCAAATGTTCAGGTACAGGTCGCCCTTTACAGATATTTCTTAATGAACCAAAATCACAATCTTCTACCAAGGCTGTTTCTAACTCTGTTATCCTGTGAATATAACAGCATGTATTAAATAAACATGGACCACACAAATATTTACAAGCTTCCTCGCTGTCTGTTATTTTGAAAGGAAAATCTGCCTGAAAAAATGCAGCCAGTTAAAGATACCATGTGTACAAAAAAATACCAAAATACCAATGCTATAGTCTACCTTCTGATGCCCAATTACATGTATAGTTTTTATATGAATTTATTTTGAACATTTCAGACTTCAGATAATGTTGCATGACACAGAATATAAATCTTTAATATTTTGTAGTCTTGTTTTTCCAAGAATAATGATAACAAGCTCTTACTCAATGTCTATAATTTTATGATCTACTTATCTAATGTATCGGTACCTTAATCTATTTATTTACTTACAGTGTGAGGGATGTACCGTACATGTAGTATATGTAGTACATGTAGCAACAAATTAATTGTTTATGCCCATAACAGATTCAGTTAATAATGTAGATCTAAGTGTGCATTTCTCTTAAATCTCCCTGGATACCACCCCCCCACCCCCCGCCTCTCACACCAGCATTCACATACGGAGTATTACTATTAATCTGGTTTCTATGGTGGCTGTTAGCGGCCATCTAAATCGTCGCCTTATGAAGAAGGCGACAAGTCGATGAAATCAACCAGCCGACACGACAAAATGAAGGCGACGATCGTCGGGTTATTTTGTCGTGTTGGTGGGTTGATTTTGTCGACAAGTCGACAAAATACAATTATTTCGACTTGTCGTGCGGTGGCCTGATAATACAGATATGTTGGGCTCATTGACAAAAGGAATTAAGTTAAATTTAGCAACAGAAAATTTATTACAAACAAATTCAGAACATTGACAGTACTGTATTTACTACAAGTAGCCTACGGCTACATATTCCCATTCACTGCCTTGCTACATTACGACAAACGCGTAGATGAAGAAGGATGCAATTTATTTACATAAAAATAAAGGCAAGCATTTTTGTCACCACCTGATAATTATCAAAAAAGTTTTACTTTATTATTTTGTGGCCTGGATTTTTGGCTGGCCCTAAGGCACGTGCCTTATTTGCCTTATGGTTAATCCAGCACTGCATGGACCTAAGGTCCATGGTACATGTCAGTGCTGAAACTCGCATGTCAAAAAGATGGCAAGATGGCAAGTTGTAAACAGTATATTTAGTCTTGTAGTTTTTCTTTGGGATTTGGAAGGATCTCAACATACAGAATGGGCTTAAATACAACGGGATTTGTATAATAAATGTTACAAATGAATCCCAGACATTAAATAAATACATTTTTTTACCATTCAGTGTCGTCTGCATTTTCCAACGCCGCCATCTTTGTTGACGATTGACGTGTTGAACCGTAAATTGGTCGCATTTATTGTGAGTGTGGTGTATGTCGTTATCAATTAAAGCAGACGATAATGAACGCTTGAAAGCGTTGTAAAATCTATTTATTGGATTATTTGTTAATTGACTATGAATCTATATGATCTGCGATCAATTGGATTACAAAAGTGTAATAAATCGATAATAATCACTTTGGTTTGGTGTGAAATGACGGTGTCCCGAAATGACACCCCCGCATTTACCCCAATCGCTGTAGGTTTACTTGTAGCTGAAGTCCGTTGTGGTGAGAATGCGGTAAATTAGGCTACACTCTACCAGGAACTAGAGAAATGCGAAATGGCTCAGAGCAGCCGTGGAAAAAACAGTCAAGGAAAAAACCTAGGCAACATGTTTACCCGTGTACAGGAATTCTTGGCGCCTCCAAAGCCAATCGTAGTTGATAAAAGGACCATCGAAAAATCGTGGAAAATGATGGACAAAGTGGTCAAACTTTGTCAACACCCGAGGATGAACTTGAGGAATAGCCCTCCATTTATTCTCGATATTTTGCCTGACACTTATCAACATTTACGATTAATTTACTCGAAACACGATGATAAACTTAATACATTGAACGAAAATGAATATTTTAGAATATTTATTGAGAATCTGATGGCAAAATGTAAGAATACCATTAAAGTTTTCAGAGATGGAGGTCAAAAAATGTTCGATGAAAATTCTCATTGTCGACGAAATTTGATAAAACTGTCATTGGTATTTTCACACATGTTGGCAGAATTGAAGGCAATTTATCCTACAGGGACATACGCCGGTGAAAATTACAGGATTACTAAAGGTGACGCCTCTGATTGGTGGAAACGATCATTCGGGGACAAGTAAGTATAAAATTATTCCTATTTCCTGACATGTTTCATGCAGTCCTGTAGAAAATTTGAACAAATCATGTAGGTGCTTCATTACAGAGGCAAGTCGTTTTTCATAACAATTCCAATCGCAACTTACATGACCATTATCAGCTACATCCATGTCCTGCATTGATATGGAAACCTCAATACAAATTACAATACATTAGGATTTGGCCTACATAGTCATAGGCCATGGCAACAACTGTAGAGAGCAATTGCAAATGTAGGCCTACATGTACTAATACATGTAGATGAAGATTATAAGTTCACGTTGCAAGGTACATTGTTAAACTTCAAAGAATTGAAATCGGGTTAACATTATTTTACTTTTCTGCATCAAGCAGGCTAATAATAAATAAGATAGGCATAATGATAACGTACTGTACGGTACATGTACCTCTTGTGTGCTATGACTATGAAGAACCATTTGCCGAGAGAGTGGCATTACAGTCTACTGAATTTCCAAATGTCAGGGGATCTTTAACTTTATGTCTTGGGTACATGTCATGTGCATTAGTTACCGTACACATACTCCTGTTTTAATCCCATCCAAGCAACTAGACTCTTTTCCTTGCTAGGCCTTCCATCATGCACTACTGGGAAAACCAGACTGGAAAATCATGAGGAACTTTATCGGCCAAGACCAGGATCAAACCCAGGACTCTTGGTTAGTGTGACAATGCCATTCTCACAGAGTCACCCTGGCTCCAAAATTCAAATAGATGGAATATAGTTTTGATCATTGATAGAAGAAGGGTGTGTAGCAGGGCTTCCACTTCAAAATTTTCACTGCTGGTCAATTTTGATAACGCACGAAAACTTTGCAAAGTAAATTCATATTTCATGTTGTTTTATTCATGGTAGGGTTTTGTGAATTCACGTGTCTATACCACTTTGTCAGCATGGGGTACACAAAAAATTATATATTGTGTAGCCTACAGAGTAATTTAATCTTTATATAAACACACAAACGAAAAGAAGTGTAGGCCTATTTGCTATATGTACTAATACATGTACATGGTTACACACATGTATTTGTGTACATATTACAATATCAGTGACCGTCATGGCTCCGAAAGGCCTTTTTCATCAAAGATAAACATGTCAAATTTGACATTTCCATGTTTTCCAAGAAAAGGGTTAGTACTGCTTGTACAAACTGTACTTACATGTACTATATGTAATTCCTCTGTGAAGCCCTTTTGACTTGTAGAATTAATACAATAAGGTTTGCCTCATTTATCTTCAAAACAGAAAAAGATGATTAAATGCAGCCTGTAAAACAAACGCATGGTTGTATCATATTTGGAGCTAGAGCGGGTTGATAAAAGGCACTGGCTTTCTCAGAAGGTCCCGGGTTCAATCCTGGTGTTGGGCGTGAATGTTCCTTGGTATATTCCAACATGGTTTCTCCACGTTAGCAGTGCATATTTGAAGGCCTGGTAGGGCACAGTGTCTAGTCATTCAAAATAACATGGTCCCTTTGTATGCACGACACATATACATCGATCTGTGCAAAATTTATTTCATAGCATACTGTGGGTGTGGTGTACATGTATGCTCATCTTCGTTGGCCCAGGGGGGGGGGGGTAGAATAGATGGCCGAATGGTTAGCATGTGCACGCTTTATCATAAGGCCTGTCATTGAGTCAACTCTCATGGTTTCGAATCCCTGGTTGTACGTGGCAAGGAGTAGGGTCGCCTGTCCAACCTCGTGTGTTTTCTCCAGGTCCTCCGGTTTCCTTCCACTGCTAAAGACCCCTACGCGCAAGCGAATTATTGAAATAAAATTAAACCATATGTTCGTCCCGAAATGACCTAGTTTATGTCAAGTGGACATTAAACCCCATTTCTCTCTCTCTCTCTCCCCCCATATTATTTTATTTTTGCAGAAGATACAAATGTATATATATGTACTACATGTACAGTGTACCTACCCTACCGTATATATTCAGTAGTTTTCCACACTGAAATGTGTAAGTGAATTAAGTGTGTGATATTTATTAAATTAAATGGTAATACTTATCAATTTTTATTTCCTTGGGTAAATATTCCCCAAAATATGACAAATAAAATATTTTGGTGTTGAATATGTTAGTCTATTATGAACTGTCAACTGCATGTATTTAGTGAAATATAAACAAGGAAATAGTCTAATTGTAAGGGCAACATTTTAATTACAAATGTTTGGTTCAGTCCTATTTTGATTATTTGGGATTGGTTATCTTGGTGTGCTTGTATGCGGAAATTTTTCTTAAATTTATTTCAGTTTTCAGAACAATGAGTGAACGAAATTATTCTAAATATACAGCCTTCCTTTTACACCTTGTGGGCAATGGCAGGCTGGTTTCGAGTATAATGATTTTTATAATTAATACAAACATGAAGAACAGTCTTGTATTTTGTTAATGTTCAATAGCTCAATAGAAAGACAAATCCTTTCTCACCAAAATCTAATCCATAGTAGTAAAATGGGTGACTGTCAATTGACAGTCATTATTTTTGCTAATGAGAAAATTTGACAAATTTAATGAAAAGCATACGTGATTCTTATGACTGTGATATGAAGAGTTCGATCGTAATCAAAACACAACAAAGTACTGTATGAGTTTTGTCACGGTCATTTACATGTAGTTTCTATTTTGTATTGCCATTATGCTGCTACTGTACATGTACATGTAAAACGTAGGTTCAGCAGTGCCTGATGTCTGCATTACATTTACATAACATAAATTTCTATCGATGTCAGTATCAGTGGGTTGATTTTTTGTCCCCCGCCTTTCGAAGAAAGCAGGGGACTATTAAAATGGGTTCGTCCGTCTGTCTGTCTGTCTGTCCGTCTGTCCGTCCGTCTGTCTGTCCGTCACACTTTTTGGGACACAATAACTCTCTTCCTAATTGAGCTAGAATGTTCAAACTTGGTGTATGTGTTTATTAGGTCAATGCCTTGATGGAGTTCGAAGATGAGCATTTTCCGCTTAGGGTAAGCAGAGATAAGCAATTTGATTGGTTGATGCTTTGGGACACGATAACTCTCTTCCTAATTGGGCTAGAATGTTCAAACTTGGTGTATGTGTTGATTAGGTCAATGCCTTGATGGAGTTCGAAGATGAGCATTTTCCGCTTAGGGTAAGCAGAGATAAGCAATTTGATTGGTTGATGCTTTGGGACACGATAACTTTTAATTGAGCTAGAATGTTCAAACTTGGTGTATGCCTTTCGAAGAAAGCAGGGGACTATTAAAATGGGTTCGTCCGTCTGTCTGTCTGTCTGTCTGTCTGTCTGTCTGTCCGTCACACTTTTTGGGACACAATAACTCTGTCTGTCTGTCCGTCTGTCTGTCCGTCCGTCTGTCTGTCCGTCTGTCCGTCACACTTTTTGGGACACAATAACTCTCTTCCTAATTGAGCTAGAATGTTCAAACTTGGTGTATGTGTTTATTAGGTCAATGCCTTGATGGAGTTCGAAGATGAGCATTTTCCACTTAGGGTAAGCAGAGATAAGCAATTTGATTGGTTGATGCTTTGGGACACGATAACTCTCTTCCTAATTGGGCTAGAATGTTCAAACTTGGTGTATGTGTTGATTAGGTCAATGCCTTGATGGAGTTCGAAGATGAGCATTTTCCGCTTAGGGTAAGCAGAGATAAGCAATTTGATTGGTTGATGCTTTGGGACACGATAACTTTTAATTGAGCTAGAATGTTCAAACTTGGTGTATGTGTTTATTAGGTCAATGCCTTGATGGAGTTCGAAGATGAGCATTTTCCGCTTAGGGTAAGCAGAGATAAGCAATTTGATTGGTTGATACTTTGGGGCACGATAACTCTCTTCCTAATTGAGCTAGAATGTTCAAACTTGGTGTATGTGTTGATTAGGTCAATGCCTTGATGGAGTTCGAAGATGAGCATTTTCCGCTTAGGGTAAGCAGAGATAAGCAATTTGATTGGTTGATGCTTTGGGACACGATAACTTTAGTTCTAATTAAGTGAGATTGATGAAACTTGGTGTATAGTTTCATTACAGTAATACCTTGACTAAGTTTGATAATGAGCATTTTCTGCTCAGGGTAAGCAGAGCGATACGCAATTTGATTGGTCGAGACTTTGGAAAACAATAACTCTCCTACTTTGATTGTTAGACTATAAGTAAAGATATACTGTTTGATTGTTCAATACTTTGTAAAAGATAATTTGTGATAAATTTATATGTGTCCTCTAATTATTTTCCTATTTCGGCGGGGGACATCAGGCTCACTGTTGGCTTGTAAATAATTGATAAAAGTCTTTAAATGTTTGTCAGGATTACTCGCAAATCTGAACCAAACAAGTTTTTATTTTAGGCCTAGCCATAAATTGTGACGCATCAAAACAGTGTATATTCATATGATTGTGACACACTGCCTTTCATTTCAAACACTGAAATAATATTTTTTACTACCGGTATGAAGTCTTTATGTACTTATGTAGTCAGAAAATTTATTGATAATTTCTGTTGTGTTGCAGGAAGTAGTTAATAGTAAAGGGACATAGTACCAAAATGCAAATATAATGTGATTTTCCCTTTAATGTCTTATATCTAAAAGGGATATCAGTCCAAAAATGGTTTAGTTCCATTCAACATACAAAGATATGATGAACTGAAAATTTATCAACATTCGGCATCCACTGCAGACGATATAAACTAGATTAATGCAAAACAACTAGCTCCACCTACAATGTAAAAACTCGTACCATTTCCTGTGTCAAATGTTGAAGAGTATGAAAAATGAGATCCAATGATTCAGATCTTTCAACACAAAGACGTTTTCTTAAATATTGGTACTACAAGCCCCTGAGTTCGCAAATTATTCTTAACCAGTTTTAAATACATGTACTGGTACTAGTTTTATGCCATGTCTTTTATTATTTTATTTTTTTAAAGATTATGTCGGGTATTGCTTTAGAATATTTCAACTGCCAGAGGTTCTGA